TTCTGACGAAGCAGACCTGAAAAGGCTGCGAAACGTCAATAAATAAATAAAGTTTCGTGCATTAATCCGTTCAAACTAGTTTTATTTAAATGAAATCAAGTAATATCATTGCTTGTTTGTTATATAAATACCTATCATGAAATCCTTCGTCTGTTGTGATGGACAAATCGTGGTCAAATCCAGCCACCCCAAAGACAAAGATTTAAATTATTTCATTTATGTAAATTTTACAAATATCGACACGTAAGCCCGACTAATGCTAACGTTTCTTTACTGAGATACTGTGACGATAAAAAGTATTTAATTGATATGTAACATCTTTCCTCTTGCTTTCCTACAATTTGTGGGAGTGATTTCGTGAAATGGGACGGAAGTGTGTGAAGGAAGTCGCGAAAGCGCGCGCTATTTGATTTGATTTTAGAACATAATGACAATGTTCAAATGGCTTATTCCTTTTGTAGTAGGTTTTATTTCTTTTTTTTACTAATATAAGGTGAGGTTTCAAATGTTACACATCATACGCGACTACTGTAAGGCTTGCTCGTTTTTTTAAATATATGTAAGTAGGTTAAGCTATATAGTTTTTAAGTTTGTATTATTTTAATGTATTATCTTCGTATAAAAAATAAAATTCCACATTTCCAAATAAATGAATAAAAACTCTTTTGAAGGGTCCAACTTTTATTGTTTCGCTAAAAGTCATTTGCTACTCTATGTAATAAAATAAGAAGAAAAAAATTAAAAAAATAGATAGCCGAGCATACTCATCTCTACTGACAGGCCGGATCCGTTGACGAGCTTGGTTCGTGAATTGTAGGCTAAAAACCAGCCATGGCTTTGCTCAACCATCTCAGAGAACCAGGCATACAATAATTTGTATCCCTGGTTCCCTGAGCTACAAACCAATTTAGGGAACGTACCTAAAACGGAATAGCAACCCGCCTCACACATACAAGACCACCTTAAAGACTAGACGTATAATATAATATAATTATCTTGTTCTATAAATCTGAGTATGTATTACTTTATCTAGGTACTCGTGTAACTTTTCTATTCCCACCAAACGTGCAGATTTTATATTCGACATCCAAGGCGATGATTAGTATTCCGATCGGGTGGTTTGCTATAACATTGACCATTTTGAATTCCAACGAGCACCTTTATTAAATTCGTATTTATTATTGAGCGCTATATTCACACGATTCGAAAAATAAATGCTTAATAAAAAAAAGTCTATTTATTGTGGTAACTCATTAAAATTACGTTGTGAGAACAACGATACGTCAGGCTGCCATAAAGTTGTGCATAAGAAATTTCCGAAACAAATTTCTGTGCCACCAATGATCTAGGTGCTTTGAACTAATTTAATAAATAATGTCTGGATAGTTGCTGTGTGTAGAAAAAATCGGACAAGTGCGAGTCGGAGTCGCCCACCGAGGGTTCCGTACAAATTTGTAAATAGGTACACAATATAAACGGTCATATCTTTTTTTTACAGTAATTAAGAAGTTTTATTTCAACTACATAGTAATTTGTACCATTAATCACAATAAAACCGATCGATCAAAAATAAATGACGTATTAATTGCTTAAACAAAACAGTGCAGAAAAGTTGATATGAAATCTCATTGTTGCATTGTTTCTTTTCCATTATTGCATTAGTGCAATGCAATTTTAATAATAACGAAGTTCCTTTTCGATCGGTATGGTGGATGGTCTTAATTAGTAATATTACATTTTTTTTGTTTCCTCCCAGGCGGGGGAGTCGTTGTAAAATCCTCATGGCTATCCTACAGGCTGCAAGGTTTTGTCAGACTCCTACCGACTAAATCACAACCCGTAGTTCATGCTTATGGTCTGAAGGGTCTGAAGCGATCATCTCCTGAGAGGGGGGGGGCATGATGCGGCTGACATTACAATATACTATTGAACTTGATTGTCTTAAGAATAAAACTAAATACCGTGAAATCAGAACAATCATAGAAGTGTAGATTTTATAGGTCAGAGGAGCTGAATAAAATACGGAATCATAGTGACGAATGATACTTATATTCTGTGAAATATATTTTACTAGGAAGCTGATACAACTGACTCCTAGCACAGCAGAATACAAAGTGAAGCAAGTTTATAAGTGAACTGAATGCGTGAATGATCAATGAGTGGGGATTGAACGAACGAATGAAGTATTTGAGTTAAGACTGAATGAACAAGTATACTTTGGTATTACCTAGTCAGGTTACTTTCTTTTTATTAGAAAAGGAATACAAATTATAATATATATATATAGATTAATTTTTGCCGATTTAAATTCAATATAAATTCAACAAGAAGAATAGTGAAAATAACAGTAACCTTATCTATCGATGACTTTGAAAGCTATTTTTTTTATCAAAATTGAATTAAAATAGAATTTGAAAACAAGGTGATCCTATAAGGGTTTAGTTTTTTCCTTTTGAGGTACAGAACCCTAATAGCATGAAATCATAGACAAATTAATCACGTACATCAATTGTTTTAGCGGGTTATTAAGGAACTCCATAACCATAAGTAATCGGATAATTCGGATTGGAAAATAATCCGTGTTACGAATAGCTTTGCGCTGTTTTTCTTCGATTTTTGTCGGATTTTTGTCCTGCGTACATACGAGTAACCGCAAACTTTACTATTAAACTACCACAAAGCATTAGAATACAATTGTGCTGTTTTCTCACCGCAAAATCGCCAGCGCTAAGGGACTTACCTAGGTATGGTAAGTGTGGCGCGAACATAGGAAATTGATTTCATGCAAACGCGTTCCGCTGTGTGGAGATGGAGACGACTTCGTAGGTAACTACTTCTCTTTTTTTATAATAAGTTTAGTAAATTATCTCAGATTAGTTCAGTTAATTAGTGGAGTTTAGAGGTGGTGGACGTGTTAATTACTATTCCAACATAGCGGATATGAATTTGTACCGGCAGCAGTGTCGTTCAACCGTGAGTAAGATCTCAGTTTTATTGTATTTTAATAGGAATAAGTACATCTAAAAATGTTTGCAAATCAAAATATGTTTATTCAATTCAATCAATATAAACCTTTACAGGTACTTATTCACGGCAAGTGGTACATACACAGTTTTTCTGTCCGTATGTAGATACAGACAGAAAAACTATCACCTATTGAGTTCTCCTTATGCACTACTTTTTATTGTAAATTGAGGTTAATTGGGGCGAGAGTGTTCAGGGTGGCGTCAAGCAGGTCAGGGGATTAGGGTCGAAGGAATCCCTCGACCTCGTGACAAAGTGGCATGACGTCACACTTTTTCGTGCATGCAGCTGGTGTTCATTGATATATAAGACGTTATCACGTCAAAAATACTTTTTGTGACAAATATAAAAGTTAGTTATATTATGTCGCTAATTTTTGTGTAGGCATTATCAAGCTCTGTAACTTTTCTCTAGAACTCAATCATATATCTCTCATCGTTTATGCAGCGTACATGTAGCAGATAAATGCTTCATAACAAAAATATAATGAAGAAATACATATCATACAAAATTTTCAATAAACAATACATGATAAACGGTACAAGCATAATATAAGTATTGCTTATTGTGTCATTAAGTCTTTTGATATAATTGACGCTTTGAACACCCTAAGTGGTAACTTAGAATAGAATAGCTTGAAGTTTAAGTAGGTTCTTTTTATTTAATTACCATTTTTTGTTCTTGCTGCTCACTATATCTTTGCAAACATACTTAGAATAGATACTTCTATTGATAAATGTTAATTGTAAAAAATAAATAATTAGTACCAACCTACGGGAAAAAATATTTTTACCTATACGAACATGACAAAGATTAACAGTTGAAACAGAATAAAATAAAGCTATTAAATGAGGTCTTCCTTCATATAGAAAACCGGTCAAGTGCGAGTTGGACGCGCGCACGAAGGGTTGCGTATAGCAAACCGCGAGAAGATAAATCATCTGCTTGTTTTCGTCACAATTTACAAAGTACATTACGAATCGGCGTTTTCAGTATTTTTTGTTTAAATACAGCATATGAGACATCATATACTAAAATTTCACATTCATAACTAGTTTCCATTTAGTTTTAGGTTATAATTTCATTGTTCTAGTATATAGTATATTTTTTATGTATTAAGCTAGTGATAATTAAATACATGTTGTTTAGTTTTGTGCGTATCATACTCTTTAACTACATCGGCATTGGGCAAGCATTCTACATAAAATCACAAAATTTCAGTTTTGTAACTCATTCCGTTTACGATCCCATCACACACGGACTGAGAGACATGGACAGACGACAGAGTGGCAGCAAATAGGGTTTTTCCATTTTTACGCTATGGGTACGGAACCCTAAAAACGGTGCTGTATTGCACATATATTTGTGCACCATGTACGGAACCTTTTTTAGTTGGTTTTAGGGTTCTGTGCCCAATGGAATCAGCTGTCTACCTCACAGGGCTCTGTATTATTAAGACAACTGAAATTTTCACAGAATACTTCTTACTATGACAAGCAATATAAAATAAAGGTTTATTAATTATAAATTTAGTTTTATAAATACCTATAGCCCGAATCGGACGTAGCTCGATCGCAAAGCAGCGAAGACGGACAACGATAGAGTAGCGTGACAAACATTTTGAGTTTATCCGCTCTTTGATGGAAGGCACGTAGCCCTTGTCCTAATGTATCTTCAATCTTTCGCTCTCAGCTCTTCGCATCTAGTGGTGGTGGTATGTTTCTGTGTATAAGTAAGGTTCAGGACTCCACGGGGTTGACGATGCGGTTATGGAAGTCATCGCCCGCATTTATAGGGTTTGATGGCCGCTTCACAACCGCCTTGTTTGACACCATGTTGACACATAAAAAATACATTACGGAAGACATTCATCCCAGCAGTGGGAATCTATTCGACTGATGATAATGATGATTCTAGAAGCTAATGCCCCCCTATCTGTAAATTCCTACACTCAATCAAAAAATGTTTATTTTCAGATCCTATGGACTGCTCTCTCCGTAGCATTAGGCTATGAGCTACAGGGTCAAATCATCAGGGGCGTGCCATGCGTTAAAAGAAACTACCAGCTTTATTGCCCCACTGCTGGGAACACATATCCTTTGTAAGTTCATTCATTAATTTCACTTATAATTTTAAGCTTTTTGTAATGTAAAAAATATTTTTTCTGTTGTAAGGTTAGATTGGCACTGTATCTGACTTAGTTATAAGACCAATTTCTTATACATAAAGGTCGAATAAATAATTTATCTTGTCCTGATGTTACGTGTGAATAGTTTATTTATGCAAATAGCAGATACAGGAGAGATTCTTATTACCAGCCACCCTCAACCTGATGTTATGTGTAGGAAGTGAAGTTTAGACACAAAGATGTGGTAAAAAAGTGTACCGTCCCAACATTCCTCGCCTGGCAAGGTGATCCCGCAGACGTGCGTAAGGGTGTGGCCTATTGCCCTCCGCACCGCTCCCTCCCGCGTCCTCGATGCACGACTGCCAGGGCCTGTGCATCGAGATCCCACGGCGTCACACCTGCGAGTACGCAATCCGCGCCGTGACTGGCCGTGTGGTATGCTCGCACGGCCAGGGTCGCGATGACCACGATGGCCACCGAGTGGGGCTTTAGGCCCTCGGTCCAAACCGGGGCTCCGTAGAGTGCCATCGACCGATCCGATATTGAGGCGTGATACAACCGACAGCTCTGGGCCCCCCACATTGGGAAGGACCCTTCCGAGTGCGGCTGCAGCGGCACACAACCACGGAGCGGGGAGCTCAAAGTGCTCCTCGAAACTCCATCAGGGGTCCAGCACCAGGCCGTGGTACTTAAGACTTCCCTCGACTGGTATTCCGACCCCCTCCACCCGGATATGGAACCCCGCTATGTTCCTGCGGCGTGGGCCGTGGAACATCATGGCCCTCGTTTTATTGAGGGCCACGTCCAGGCCCAAGAAGCAGATGCGTCGAACGCCCAGTGATGTAGCGACCGACGCAAGATAGGCTGCCTGCTTTACCGTCTTCGCCTTTGCCGCGGTGATCGTGTTGTCGACAACCTCCATGCCTGGCAGGAGGCTGCCTCGCAGGACCCAATTTTACCCGAAGTTCCAGAATAGTGGAGCCAGTACAGATCCTTGGGGTACACCTGCCGCCAAGGCCCGGGAGTGGATGGTTCCGTCGGGCCGCTCGTAAAGGATTATCCTGCCTTGCAGGTTAACCTCCACGATGGCGCACAGGTACACGTGCTAGAAGTGAAATACCTCCGTGATACACACGTAGGGGAGACTGTAATATGCGTTGCGGTTGTCCAACGACACCGCAATAACAGTCTCCCCCCGTGGTCGCCTCGGTCCAACTCTTTAAGAGGGCCACTGCGTCCATTGTGTGGACCGGCCGGGTCGGAAGCCGAACTGATTGTCTGCCAGGTTCGGCTCCGGGCTCTCCAGGTGTTCGACTATCCGGCGTACCAGGATCTTCTCTAAGAATTTCCTAGCATCGTCAAGCACCACAATCGGCCTATTTCCGGAGGGGGAAACAGCTGGGCGGCTCTTCTTCCTCAACAGGCAAAGCCGCGATTGGGGAATCGGCCTGCGGTGATGCTAGTATTCAGCACTGCCCGAAAACGCTCCTCCAGGGGTCCAATTGCGAGAGCCAACACCTTTGGATGGACCCCATCTGGCCCGGGCGCAGTTGTTTCCCGGAACTAGGGCTACCATCTCTAAAATGTGGCAACCAGGACAAGACGCGTGATAACCCCGGATTTTGGAGCTAAAAACCCAGACAGACCAATAAAAAAGCAGTTAAAATGTCACAAATCAACTCTGTTTATGTTGATGTAGGCAAAAGAGCTAGCTGTCCACATGATAATAAGTGGTCACTGCTGCCCATGGACACTTGCAGCACCAAGGGCCAATCATGCGTTGCCGGCTCTGAACGAAAAGGTTCATCCACCTTTTTAAGATTACCATATCATAGCTATAAGAAAAAAATACTGAGGGAAGTTCGTTCCAGATCTTGCTGGTACGCAAAAGATAGGAACACATTGTGCTCGAACGCCAGGCGTCCAGATGGTGGGCGTGAAACTTCTCTGCGGTGTGTGATGCTGTGAAGAAGCTTGGCCACTGGCATCCGGTTGAATAATTCCTCGGAACACTCTCCAGTGTATAGACGGTACAACAAGTACAAGGAGTTGCGTCCTTCTGCGTGTTGTACCGTCTGCGTAGTTAAGGGGTTGCATGCAACGCGTGAGTGAACTCAGGATCATCGATAAGTCAAACTGCCTGCATTTGCATCCGGTTAAGCGGAAGGAGCTGGTATTGGGGTGCTCCAGCCCAGAGGACCAGTACTTTGTATAATAACACCCGATATTTAGGCTTGAGGTACTTACTATATCTATTGAGCACCCAAGCTTTTTCACACAAACATGTGTCTTTGCTGGGTTATTCCAATTAAATTTTGTTGGCTCCAATTTGAGACTTGATCCAGTAACATCTCAATCTCGGACACAAGTCTGTCTTTACACCCTTCTACTTTTATGAGAGGGATTTTTGACTGACCAGTGTAAAAAATATCGAATTCGAATAGCTGGCGAGTCCGAAATGTCATTGTCAAATTTTGTATGAAAGCTTGATCAGCAGCGCCATAACCGACGTAACGAGAGCTAAGAATCAGTACACATTTGACAATGACATTTCGTACTCGCAAACGATGCGAATTCGATATTGGTTCGTGCTAGGGGTACTGATCTTTGTAGGAAGTCAGCATTTACGGTTACAGTGTCAGAATAGATTTATTTATTTTCAAAGACATACAGTTGGCGATCAAAAACAGAAAATTTATAAACCCGGACTACAAATGAAAGCCCGCCCGGACGCTCCCCGGACGCTCTGTAAACTAGGACAAATCCGGGGAAACCCGGACGGTTGGCAGCCCTACCCGGAACCGGTCCATCACCGCGTCGTACTCCGTGTCCGACACGGCAAAGTCTGCCCTACCTTTCTGAACTATTTATTTCCTTTTCAGAGATAAAATTGAAAACTTCATAGACGAGAACAAGGCATTAATAAAAAGGATGTACGGCTCGTTCACGACGCCGGGGGGAAGTCGAGTGCGGCGAGCGCCGGGAGTGCCCGACTTGGAGCCGGGCGACTCGTATTTCAGGCACACGCGCCAGGCGACCAACACGCCGCCGCTGCCCGACGCGCAGGGCAACAGCACAGGCAGGTGAGACACCCCTGGAGCCAGGAGAGAGTATTGCAGGCACGTGCACCAGGTGACCAACGCGCCGTCGCTGCCCGACGCGCAGGGCAACAGCAGAGGCAGGTGCGATACACCAGGGGCCGGGCGCGAGTACTGCAGGCACGCGCGCCAGGTGACCAACGCACTGCCGCTGCTCGACGCACAGGGCAACAGCACAGGCGGGTGAGACACGTCTGGGACCGGGCGCGATTACTACAGGCACGCGACTTATAGGTACTTCAAGCACGCTGACTCGTAGGTATGTTCAATTCAAGCACGCTAACTCGTAGGTATATTCAATTCAAGCACGCTCACTCGTACGTACGCCAAGCACGCAGTCGTACTTGAAGTGGGTAAGCAGATAGGTGGATGAGATAAGAAAAAATATTTTTTATACAGAATGAAAACACCTTTTTGCATTGTAAAAAAGGCAAGTAAGTTGTAAAATATAGGGTACCAATTACCTATTTTATAGATATTATGCAACATTGAATTAATTAAGTTCTTATACAAAATAACTTGTCCAACCACAGAGCGACCTTGATGATTCATCTCTTGCTATTGTGGCAACAGTCTCATTTCAAGATTTATCAATTACCTAACTATCAAAGTCTTTTATTTATTTTCACAAAATTTCATCTGCATCGTAGGATTGACGCGTGCGAGAGTAAGACGGAGATAATGACTCCGTATTGGGCTCTCAATTCGGCGCGAAAGCTTCGTGCCATCGTGAACACTATGCACTTCGAGCAAGCTATACACCAAGAAGTGTGCAGGCAAGTTTTATTTAAAATTAAAAAAAAATAGAAAAACATATTGTTCTTAACTTTCTGGCGGTTGTGAAGTTGGTAACGAGTGCAATTTTCGCACTACATTGCGTTCCGCGACTTGCGCCATCTTTACAGACGCCATTACGTTTGAATAGAATTTTAACAGGGAGTGCCCGTGACTTCGTCTGCGTCTGTGTATAAATAATTTGTAAAAGAAATTTCCATCTCACAGACATAGATCGAAATAGATAACGCAATTGTATGTAGTAACGCAAGTGATAACGTATACATGGAACACGTTAAAAGGATGAATTAATTACTCAATGGTTTGTCTCGAACGCCACTTTGGGTTGCGAAAGGGAGACCAATGGTCTTCCTTCTACGCAAATTTATTTCTTCGCGCGTCGCATGGATCGTAATGATTCAAAAATATTAAACTGTCATACAAATTAAGCTGTAAAAACGATGTCATTGAAATAGGTGACCGAAGCCCATGCATTTTTTTTCATTTTTCGAGAGTACCTACAATCTATCTACCTAAATCTCATACAATTTGAAGTACATGCGGCGTCTACTTTTGTCTGTGTGTCAACCCTTATTTCCCACTTCAAGTGGCAAAAATTGCAAAAAGTAGTTCCGAGGCGAAACGATTACGTTAACAATTTGTGTGCGTTGCAGTTTCATACAAAGAATACTGAATGCCTCGAGTTGATGCAGTGACGATCCGTTTCCGAGTTAAAATGTCTGCTACGTCCTTTTGCTCCACTCAGCTCTTTTATTTCTATGACCGAATTCTTAAAAATAGGCTAAAGCGTGAAAGCCTTGAAAGACGAACAGAAACCGCCTTATCACAAAACGTAGTAATGCTGTTTTGTTTTGTATACTAACAAGAAGACAGACACGACATTAGGTTTGAATCAAGACTAAATATAGTCTGCGTTTTGAAATAAGACGGAAAGAGTTACTTTGGAACTATAACATTAGATATTACTTCACTATACTTACTAGAATTAAATCCATGAGTCACTGGTTCATATCCAGTTCGAAGGACCAAAAAAGAGTGTAGTACTAGCCGAGCTATTTATATACCTTGTCATTGGCTAAGATAAAAAGATTGAGATTAAGTATTCACATTATACACAAAATACTTAAATAAATGCTAATGTATGATAATAATGTTGAGATCACGTGATTGTTGAATGAATTTTATTTGCGTAGTGAATTTATCTAAAAAAGAATTTTACCTATAATTAATAAATTACAAGACTTATTGTTCTGATTGGTTTCTTGAATTTATATCCCCCTTTTTCCCAATGAATTCTATTCAGTTAGACGCAAATGAAATTGCCGTCACTCTTTACTGTTTCCTGAGTGGTACTTAGTTAAAAATGAGTACCTTAGTCATCAACCAGATTATGTAACGTTTTATCAGCAGCCTTTTAATATGCCAATTACTGGAGCACTGGCCTTCTCAATGGAAGGCAATGACCCAGCCACACGGGCCACGTTTGGATTAGTGGGCACTAACGACTATTGACAGATGCAGCCGGGAGCAACGTCTAAGAGCAATTTCACATTTTTTGCAAAAAATCGTAATTTTTGAGCGCCTCGTTTATCCCCTTTGAAAAGATTTTGAATATTTCCAATAGAAGTAAACAGTAGATTTATTCTTGTTATTGTAAGTTAATGTAGAATATTTGCAAATACTATTTTCCTTTTTTTGTACTGATCGTTCTACCGCAGCTAGTTCACGGAAAAAACGATAATATGAACAACTTCAAACGCCTCAATCTCTCAATAATGTTCAATAAATTAGATCAAATTCATTATTACGATACCAGAAATATGTTTTTGTTGTAACATAATGTATTAGAATTTTGATTTTCCATCTCATTAATTATCAAAAAAAAACATCTAACCTCCGTGAGTTTTCCCAAAAAATAATGCAGGTTTACCTCGCATTTGATATTGAATTAAAAAAAATCACTATCAAAAACTTTCATAAAACTAATCTACCATCATTGAACTACTGAAATATGTATATATTTTTATAATTAGTTCGTTAATAATTATTTTATAAGACTCGAAACATCACCCGTAAAATGCAATATATAGGTACTAGTGCAAATCTACCTACGCGCCGATCAGTACGGCAGCGGCGCAATTTCGTAAAAGGGCTCTTAACGTGTCTTCTGAAGCACGGAGAAACTCAAAATAAAAGGTAGGACAAAGCGTATTTGCCGGTGGAATTGGAGCGCCCATCTCGTAAGATAACCTCCACCTTACAGAATACCACGGTAAATAACACTACCTTTTGGTGGCGTTGTTTTTCTGTCGATGAGTAAGGTTCCAGCCCCCTTGCTCGCTATAACGCTCAATTGTCAAATTACTATGGAATTTGTCAGTTCGACACGATAATAATCGTAATATAATGTAAGTTGTAGTGCTCCTGCTATAGGGCCAGGGTTTTACCCTGACTCAATCCCCTGCCCCAGGGAATTGAGCCAGGGTAAAACGCAGCGCCGTCTTTGACCTATTGGAGGCCCTGGGCATATTAGGATAATGGGGCCCCTATGACTCCCGTTTGGTGATTTAACAGGACTAGGGACTTTGTATTTGATCTGAGGGGGGCCCCTATCGATCGCGGGGCCCTGGGCTTTTGCCCAAAGTGCCCACTGGGAAAGAGGGGCGCTGGTAAAACGTGAGTGATATATTTTTTATCGCAAGCGTCTATAGGCTATGGTTGCCGCTTACCATCAGGCGGGCCAAATGATAGTTTGCCACCCTTTTAAATTAAAAATTGGTCACCTATCCAGCCAGCTTAGGCCAGTTATAACTGGCCATTACGAAAATAATAATATTCTTTATTGTATAACCCCACAAAGGACATAAAAGTAAAATCACACTGACAGAGAGACATTACACAATGGGTGACCTCATAATAGCAACCCATGATGGAAAATGAAATAAGTAGAGGAAACTACCCAATCATTGGCACTCTTCCTATTATTGGCAACTTTTGAGTTTAGTTCGAAAAGACCAGGAAACAATAGATTATAGGAATAATGCTGCCAATTTTCAAATTTCGTAACCATACTAGGTTTTTCTTTTTAACATGTAACGAACTTGAATAATCTATTGTCTCCTTGTTTTTTTCGAATTAAACTCAAAAGTGCCAATAATAGGACGAGTGCCAATGATTGGGTGGATTCCCCTATAAAATGAACAAAAGTTATTATTAAATACCTTTTATATGTAATCAAACCTTTTTTTTGCAGTAAAAAGACTACGAACAGATGCTCCGGAGACTGCGGATGCGAGCAAAAGTACAAATGGCATCGTCTTTTGGCTTACGATCCAAACGACGACTGCGCAGGTATATTCATGGATTGGTTCCTTTTCCCTTCATGCTGCGTTTGTCGATGCAACCCTTAATATAGTTACCATTGTACAATCAATCTTTAAAATAAATAACCCTCTTCCCCTTTTAATATTGCACAATAAACTTTACAAAATCAAAATCCTTTTTCCTTCCTTTTAAAGTTTGTTGTTGCAACAGAGACGGAAAGTCTTGTAGAAATTAAGAATACACGATCCCAATAAACATTGGGTGATTTATTTAAAAGACTGGCGTTAATATAATCGTCTCTCGTGATATGTTAATCGCCTCCCTACCTAGTCTCATAAGATTTGGAATATATTTTTTTTTAGAATAAGGCACAGAAGTGCGTACAAAGTGTTTGATTTGAAGAAATTACAATAAGCTACAGCCTTGTCCTGTTATGTTCCATTTATAAGCAAACAACTTTACTGCTAACTTTTATCTATAATATCTGTTCTATTTTTTATGAATTCTTGAAATACTATCCATCCTGTATGTTTGTATACTTGCACATTCTTTTTTTCATTAGAGATAACATACCTAGTGCAATATATTAAATGGGTTGATAAAAGTTTAGTTAAATTCTACCTGAGTATTTTCATACAAACAGGGCATTGTTTATTTTTCCAATAGTTTTGCTAAATATTTTCAAATCAAACAAGTAAAAAGTATCTGACGAAATAATTAGGTATGCACTTTAAATAGCATTAAATGATTAGGTATCTCATTACATAAATGAATACAATAATGAATATATGTATAAATATCTTACGATAATATTGTTTTGTGACACTATTAAAATTCAAGAGGATATTTTGATTATGGTTACTTAATTAAATTTTAAGTAGTCTAATTATAAGGATATTAATTATATTACTATATACTTAATTAATCACTGCCATTGTACAGTCCTTTATTATTTGCATTAAAAGTAGACTAAAATAAGATTGTGTCTTAAAAGAATGATACAGCATTGTGGAACCGTTAATTTATTACAATTATACCTACTACTCTTCTTAAAATTGTCTACATACTTTCAATTTCCTAGCAGAATTATAATAAAGCAATTTATGTTCGAGTGACAATGCTATACACTAAGTTTTATAAAATTTTATTCACCTATAAATATCTTCCAACACTTGTTGTGAGGCTAAACTTGATTACTTGCCTAAATATTGAATAATGCTAAAGAAGGCTTAGATATCCGAATTACGATAGTATATAAAACATTATTACTATACATTAAAATTAAGTTAATACTAACATTTAATGTAGTTTACAATTAAGTGTAGGTATAAGGACCAATTTACTTGATGTATTTATATACGAAAATAAATAAGCCTTTACTGTATTCCCTTTGTTTTATTTACATAAAAAATACAATGAAATTTCTTTGAAGATATAAATGTTTAATTGAAAAATTATGAACTGTTATGTCGGAAATACAATTCATTATATTATACGTAATAAATAAATTGTTATAACAACATAATAACTACCTATATATACATATCACACATAAAATTAGTTTGATGGCTTAAATTCAATCCTTCTTCTCTTTGGCTTTGAGTTGTTCAAATTCTTTGAAAACTTTATCACTTAATTTGTCACCTTCATCATCAATTTGTTCAACAGCTAATACCTCTGGTATATAGAACTGCATCATATTTTGTACCTGACAAACAAATAGAATATGTTAATAGTATAAAATGATTAGTGAGTGAGCTGAAATTATCTATTTTATAATCAGTTTTTGAACTGATTCTGTGAAGATATTGTTTTCATTTTGTAAAGAGTAGCAAAATTTATTTATTTATGAACTATATAATGCTATTTAACTGTATCAGCATGGGGAATAGATAAAAATCACCACACCGCACACAAGCAAAATCTAGTGCATTATGCTAATTAGATAACAATAACATTTTCTTTAGAGAGCTAGGGTAATGGACAGACCAAACATATATTATTTCGGTCAGAATTTTAATTGAAGTACAAGTCGCAAGAAAAGATCATAATGCTTCAACAAAGAGAAACATTGTATAAAGAAATGACTATAAACTTATTTTCATTCCTAATTAAACTTAAAATATATTATCATCTATCACTTACCCCATTTTTAAGAGTAACTATAGAACTTGGACAAGATGAACATGAGCCTTGCATTTTGAGAGTCAACACTCCATCCTTGAAATCAACAAATAAAACATCACCACCGTCTTCTTGCACTGTGGGACGGATACGAGTGTCTAGCAACTCTTTAATCATTTGAACTATTTCGTCATCATCTTCATTTATTTCTGTAATTACAATACATGAATCAATGCTTTGTTTTTCATATAAAAATTTTAGGATCAAGGTTCATGTACAACAAAGGTAAAAACTAACATGGACTAAAAAGTTATATTAACAGAATCATTTCTATAATATTTTTTTTCTTATTTTATGTAGTATTATTACATTATTCATACCAATGTAAAAACTTATTGGTGCCAATTCTGGCGTGATTCTCTAAACTTAAAACTAAATTTAACATCAGTATCTCCTTTTCATTCTGTATAGAGAATGACAGGGATATACTGCTGTCAAATTTAAGTTTAGGTTTAGAGAATCATGCTAGAATCGACACCATTGTATAATGTTTTATACTTTCATGGTCACCAACATTATAGTTATTAACAGGATTTTTACCAGGTCCCAATCCCCTGAATAACTATAAAACTTATTATAATCTCAAATATTCATACAATCTCACCATAGTGCTGTAACAAACAATGAAAAAAGCCTTACGTGTATCTCCAGATGGTTTTGCATCAGTTACAACAGGAAGACCACTTGCAAAGAAATCCATTATAGTTGCAAATATTTCTGGTTTCAAAAGCTTCCACTCCACATCGTCATCTTGCTTGGTAACAGTTATAAATTCAGGTCCAAAAAATACTGCTTTTACTCCATCAATTCTAAAGATCATTTTTGCTAAGGATCGAAAATTTCAATCAAGTTAATTAAAGGCAAAACTATATTATACATACATTGTTTTTTATTATATTTGTATTTTCAGAATTGAATTGCTATATTCTTCTATCTAAACAAAATTCAAAGAAACTTACTTCAAATTTTATTGTTTATCTAATATAATGAAAAAACTTATTTTAGATGTTCCATGCAAATGTCCCTAATTTAGAGCTCCAGAAAAATGTTAGTATCTACTAAAAATCTTCAAAAGCTTCCACTCCACATCGTCATCTTGCTTGGTAACAGTTATAAATTCAGGTCCAAAAACTACTGCTTTTACTCCATCAATTCTAAAGATCATTTTTGCTAAGGATCGAAAATTTCAATCTAGTTAATTAAAGGCAAAACTACATTATACATACATTGTTTTTTATTATATTTGTATTTTCAGAATTGAATTGCTATATTCTTCTATCTAAACAAAATTCAACGAAACTTACTTCAAATTTTATTGTTTAGATACTAACATTTTTCTGGAGCTCTAAATTAGGGACATTTGCATGGAACATCTAAAATAAGTTTTTTCATCTAAGAGATCTCTTAACATTATTCATTGAGCGTGTGTGGAAAGCATGATAGCTTTTTTTAATATCAGATTTTTTAGGATGATACTTTATTCATAGATACCTATGCCCTGTAAGTATGTTGTTTTTACCACACAAACTTTTGTCCCCTACAAGTTTTAATCTCCTGACAAAAAAACAACCAAACCTCTTAGGACTCCTTTAACTCTGTACCAAATGTCATCAAAACTGATAAAATGGTTAAGGTGTGAAGGTATTATAATTTTTTGATATTAGTCTCACTGTCTCCTTCTAGTTCTTTGAAAGTTAAGTGGGGTGGATTATCAGTTCCAATCCACCCTGACTTTGCACAGGTGAGCTTTATTTAAAGCAATAAAATATAGTTCAGAGTCATTGTAACATTCTAATGGTGAAAGAATTTTTCATTTAACATCAAAAACACAAAATTACTGACATAAAAAGTCGCTCCAAGCGAGTTAGCAGATGGGCAGTGCAGATGTTATTTTTCTGTGTATGGCTTACCTAAAGGACTACATTGTGCTGCTCCAATGTTAGGAAAATCCATGGTTTGTCCTTGTTCTAAAACTTTAGTCCCTGGCATAAATTTGAGGCTGTTCGGATTTGGAGTATCCTGTGTTTGAATAAACATGCTGCGACAATGACAAGAACTTAACAGGATACTTTTTTTGTAAGTGTATTCATGGACTCCTTGCAATGCACTGAACATTCTCTTATCGCTGTAACTGAAAAATCACGTTTCTAAGCCGTGTAACATCAGGAAATTTAAAAGACAAGATTAAGTTCAACTATGCTTACTTTATAACATTGTTGGCTAAAAGACGACAACAGCGTTGGCTATTTTTAAATATTTTTAACGAATTACGAAACATTTTTAAAATTTATTTCTCGATACTATCAAATTAAAAGGCCGATAGGCCTAACAGTAACTTGGAGGACAACAAAAATCTAAATAAATTTTTATTTATGTATTCTACGTACGTACGTTTTGAAGGGAAACCGATTTACGAGTCGGGAACGTCAATGTCAAAATTAACAAAAAAATACATTCTCCCTTAAACAGGAAGGCTAGGACTAAAAAAGACTAGGCTGTATGGGTATGGAAACAATACCCATACAGCCTAGTCTTAAGTTTTATTAATTTTTTTTTACATTAAAACGTCGATGTGACGCAACATAATGTTTCATACTTTGATTATTCAAGAGATAGAGCGTCAATTAGTGAACACTGCGATAAAAACTTGTGTGCGTGACACGCAAAACAAAACCTCTGAATAATACACAGACTTAGAATATATAGGAGCAGAACAAACATTAGAAGTTCAAAACCACGGCAAAACTAACACACTCAAATATATACACACACACCCTGACTCAAATACAGGGACGGAGTTAGTCTCCTAGTTCAATGAGACAATAGTAAAATTTTATTAGTATCTTAGTAGCAAAAAATCTATGTTACTTTGTTAACTTCTTTTAAGCCGTGCAAAGGATTTTCAGCTATGCTATCGTATGGAACTAAAAAGGAAAGCACGTTGAAGGTATACAATTGCAAAAAAATCTTCATCAATGACATCAGTGAGTGATATCTGTGAGCAAAGTCAAAACAGTTTCCCCTGCCACGTTCAGGAATTACTACACAATTCATACTTTTAGAAAGCACTGTTTAAATGAATAGAAAATACTGTACAGAATATTTAGTTTAAGGAATACAATGGTGTCGATTCTGGCATGATTCTCTAAACTAAAAAATAAAAGTCTAGCTTTAGAGAATTATGCCAGAATCGATACTAATGTTGTCAAATTAAATTTTAGGTTTAGAGAATCATGCCAGAATCGATACCATTGAAACTATTTTTGTAAGTGTAAATATTTCTGTTTTAATTGATTTGTGTACTGCTTAGATTGTAATTTTACATTAAAATATAACTTTATTATTATTAGCGTTTCTACCAAAAGTTTGAAAATTTAAAAAACTAATTTAATTTTTTGTAATTTTATGTGTTGCAATTCTTGCTCTCCTTTGAAGAACACTTAACTACCTATGTTCTAATTTAAAAATATTTTGTAAACAACAATGTACAGTTTATCTATAAAGTCGTGACATTAAATGATGGCGCCACTAGTATGCATGTAGCAACCCTATACAGTCTGACCAAAATGATTTTGATACTAGCAGTTCATTCAAGTAAAATAGGTAAATAATAAGATACACTGTACAGTCGTATTTTGTTTCTTTTATATATAGTAGGTACCTATGCTTATAAAAAGTTTAGCCAAGCATATTTAATTGAATCAGAATAAAATTATTATAGATTAAATAGTACTTTATAGTGTAAAAGTGTGTAATGTTGGTGATTACCGCTGAGGTGCCATTGAGACCAGAGCCGTTAGGTAATCATCAATACACACAAGTATCATCATACGACGTTTTTTAACACACTTGTTAAGAAAATAATACTAAAAATCATTTTATAGTATATGAAAAGTTTATTTAGAGAAACAATTTGTAAATGTGCACTTATTAAAATTAGTGATAGGTGTCTTCAAGGCTCGATGGCGCAAGTGGTTGGCGCGTTCGGCTGCGATCGTTGAACTTAAGGAACTTTCGCAGTGGTCGGTCGTTGGATGGGTGACCAAAAATTACTATCTCGAGCTCCTCCGTGCTTCGGAAGGCACGTTAAGCTGTTGGTTTGTTTGTTTTGTTTTTTTTTTTTTTTGGTTTCCCGGCTGCATCTGCAGTCGTTAGCACCCACCAATCCGCACTGGGTCCGCGTGGTGGGTCATGGCCCAATCTCCCTATTCCATCCACCGTGAAGGCCTGTGCTCCAGCAGTGGGGACATTAATAGGCTGATGATGATGATCTTCACTAAAAGCATCTGGCCATGGTTCTTTTTTGTGACCATTTCTTTCTTTGGTCGGCCTTGCCTGTTTTCCCAGGAGTTTCAAACTTTCCATCATTCTTAAAACCTTCGTTACTATCCGAATCTCTGATTTTCCTGAAAAAAAGTAAAAAAATATGTAACGGAATAGAAACAATAACTTATTGACATGAAGCAATTAATTCAAAATTGGTAGAAAACCTGACGAGTTGAATAATAATAACATATCAAAAGAAATGGTCGTACTACAATATTACCTATTTACAATGTCTTTCTAACCTAAAAATGTGCAATGTAAACAATGCCTTTTTTGGTCTCAAAGTCGTAAATTGAGTAAATTTGTAACTTCAGGCAGATTACAAACAAATATTTACACGATTACATACCCGTCATAGATGCTGTTCGCCCATAAACACCATGCAAATCCCACAAAATTCGTCCAGCTTGGTAGTCTTAGTTCTTCGAAACATCGTTGGAAAACTTTAAAAATCACTTCCCGCGTGCCATTCCGATTTACTTTGCTCATTTTTATACCTTTCTGTGTAGTTTCGTCTTAATTTATTACAGTTTAATCCAAACAATAAAAAAAATACAAAAGGAAAACAGTTCCACAACTAAAATTCGATGACAGCTGATGTACATAAGTTTGATGTTGCCAGACACATGATTAATGTTAGTTCCTCAAACATTCATATCACGACTTTATAGACAAACTGTATTCAACTGAAGGACTCTGTCTGAATCCAGGTCATGATTAATTAAAAAAAAAAGAAAAAAATGAATAAAAAATGCCAATAAATTAAAAAAAAAACAACAGACTTTTTGGCGGGATTTCATCGAGTGTGGTTGGCGTCTTATTTTAATTATTTTTAAATTCGTTCATAGTGGATATTGGTGTCGATTCTGGCATGTTTCTCTAAAGCTAAAACTTAATTTGACAACAGTGTATCTTTGTCATTCTCTGTACAGAATGAAAAGGAGAGACTGATGTTAAATTTAGTTTAAAGTTTAGAGAGTCACGCCAGAATCGACGCCATTGTGAAATAAAATTGGTGTGATTTTGTGTTACAACTGTCTGCGTAACTGAAGAATTAGTAGAATCGTCAAAATATACGCTGTTCCGGTCAAGTGGACGTGAGAATTTTATTGTAGTATTGTCTACCTCACAGAAGCTTATCGAAAAAGCCAGCTCGATACATTTCGTGCCAAACACTTCAAGAAACATTAGAATGCATCACACCGACATTCTAATGTAAAAAGGAAAACAGAATAATTTAACTTAAGACGAGGCTGTATGGGCATTGTTCCCCTTGCCTTCCCTGAAAAGGGAGAACTTAACCAAAAAAAAACAACACTGGTACAGAAAAAAAACGAGAAAAGTTAAACAAATTTTTATGAAAAAAAAAGCGCGGGAACCTTCGAACTGTAAAGGCGGAAATTTTAAATTTTATCATATTTAATTGTTTTTAAGGTTGAAGTCAAATCAAAAGAAGCAAATTAGTTATTTTTATTTAATAATACACAGTGGTAAGTACGCGCCTAATTTTACTCAGTGCAAAGTCTGTCACTTTTTGAAGGGGACGAGGTAAACCACTACATTAAAATAAACTCACACAGCCTTAGTTATTTGTATTGTTACAATCGCCTACAAATATATTTTTTCACCTACGCACACTAATGACAATCACAAGTAATCGTAACTAGGGAAAGTTCGGTATCGATATTTTAGTTTTCTTTAAATAACAATATCGATAGTTTTTCTTGTTCTCAAAGATTATTTTATAAAATAAAAATATGACAACGGAAAAAAATACTCCGGGTCTTTTAATACTCTCACTGGCACAATTACCCAATCACTTATATTTTTTGCTAAACTTAGAAAATCGTTTCGTGGGAGAAAATCTTAAATGTCATTTGTTTTATGTATATATGTTCATTTCTTTTTATCTGTCAAACAATCGTTTCAACATAGGTACAGTCTTGTCCGATTTCGACAATAAAAAAAATATTGCTACTGTAAATGTAAATGGCCAGAGGTAAATTAAAATGAAATAAAAATACTTTAAGACATTAGATTAAAACTTTTATTGGAATAAGTACAACATGAGCTCAAATAATCTTCTACACTCATTCTTATTTAACATTATTATGATTATTACAATTATTCTCAATACTGATCTTGATCTGTTGATGATTTCATATCTTTTAGGAGCTTATGTCAAACGAGTAAAAACTTATCATATTTTAACACACTTATATTAGCCTCACTTGTGACTAGGTAAACAAATCTGGAAAGTCGAATTCAATCTACTTCTTATTCTCATATTGATTCAAAACTTGGTAAGTGTGTGTAATTTGGATGACAATACAATAATCTGATATCATTGAGCAAGTCTGATAATGAAGCCAGGAGGTGAATAGTGAATTCTTCAATGTTACCAAAAAGATCCGTCGAGTCTGGGTTTATTTGGTCTGTTTTAATGAACACTCCTGCCACCATTCCAATGTTAAAGTATAAAAACTCATTTTTACTAAACCGTCATGAAACCACCAGCTGTCTTATCGTATTTTTTCTCTACTCTGGCTTTTATGTATTAAAATACATACGTACGTTACGTTCATATAACATACGCAAGCACGCACAAGCATGTATTATTATTTTTTCTAGTTATATTTTCTTTAGATTTAAATATCAAGCAGTTACATGCTTAAAAAAAATTAATTATAACTATAATTGCAATTTCTTTTTTCAAATGTTTAATACTTGTAAAAGTTTTCATTTGACATTGTGGGTTACCTACAATGCGAAGAGATGACGTTGCCTTGCAGCTTAAGAATGGCTAGAAGTATTTCGACGCGGCCATTACATGCTTAAAAACAAAAAAAATGTATTCTTAATATCAAACTATTTGATTTTTAAAATGTATTAATTTTGAGTAAATGTGTCTTATGCATTCAAAAATACAAAAAACCATTATATCGATATTATTTTTTCAATTTTATTTCCCATCACTTAAAAGTCGTAAATAAATAGTCTCGCTACACTCAATTCAAATTATATAATTTTTATTTAGAATCTTAAATGCGGGGCCTAAGGTCGAAACTTGATAATTAAAAAATGTAGTCTAGTGGAGAGTGCGTTTGCTAGTCTCGTGGGGAGCATGCAATAGAGACTATATTCGCACTTAAATAGTTCAGGTCACTAAAATGGACTCTATTTTTCAATTATAAGGTATAAAATCATATGAATATGTATCGGTACATATTCGAATTGGATCTCACTCGATTTCTTGCAAGTTTCTATTCTCGATTATTGTAAAATTCATTTTTAATTGAAAAAAAGCACTAAAATATAGAAAAAACACTTACATGTGAAATGATATCCCGTTTTTTTGTAAATTAGAGGTGTTTGATCCTTTTTTGCTCGTTAAAACGGCACAGGTTAGCATTTTTTTGCGAGGAGACACGGGCTGTTGTCACTACGATAACGATTCTCACACTGTGGAAATCTATCGATTGTAAGTAGTTTTTATGAACGCACTGGATCATTTGATCTTATACCTTGACAGAGCGGAAAGATCTTGCGAGGCTAGTCCTGTGGTTTAATGGTCTAAGAGGAGACATTTCGCTGTCCCTTGGTGGAATGAAAATTGCAATAAAGCAGTACAAAATAGTAAGGAAGCTTATATTAAATTTAAAAACAACCCATCGCAGGAAAATTATATCAACTTTAAAAAAATGCAAGCACTTAAAAAAAACATTATAAAAATAGAAAGGACCTAGTGGTCCTTTCTATTTTTATAATGTTTTTTTTAGTTGTTTCCAACTAGTGTTGGAAGGATTTCTGTTCTGATTTAAATAGATCATCTCCTCTATCTAAAATTTGGCAAACTATGCGTAAATTTAACCGAAGCTTTATTCCTCCAATTAAAGACGAAATTCCATCTTGGGTAAACGACTTTTTATGAAAATACACACCTGATTATGTAGAAGCTGCACCTTTTCCCTCAGATTTGCGATTGAACTCTAATTCCTGCGATATCACTAATAGTACGAATGATTACCTAACTTCACCTTTCACTTTGTCTGAATTATCTGCTGCAATAAAATCTAGAAAAGATACAGCTTGTGGACTAGATTTTATATCCTACAAAATGTTAAAAAAGTTAGACTGCAATAGTATCAAAAACTCTTAGCCATATTTAACGGCCCTTGGGAAAATAGTTTAATTCCTGATAACTGGAAGATAGATTGTTTGATTCCTGTAATTAAACCAAATAAATCCAAGGCTTGTGCTGACTCATATCGTCCTATAACTTTATCTTCTTGTATGGGTAAAATATTCGAGCAATTATTGAAACACCGTCTTGAATTTTATATAGAAAGTAATAATTTACTCCCAAACAAACAGTTTGGATTCAGACGTGGCCGATCTGCCCGCGAAAGTATAGGATGTCTTCATACTGACATACAAAATGCACTTAATTACAACAATACAATGGTGTGTATATTCCTTGACATTGTTGGTGCCTTTAATAATGTGAATTTGTCTGTTCTATCAACCACACTATTTAGATTAGGTATTCCATATAAGATGGTTAAATGGTTAATCAGCTTTCTTAATGGACGACAAGTTTACGTAAAAATCAATAATAAAAATATTACGTAAATTCAAAATCCAATTACACTATCTGATCTCGTTCAGAGAAAAATATTGTCAACTAACAACAAATGGAAAAGACATCATTTTGTTTTGGACTCCATCACATATAGGCGTTTACGGTAATGAAGAAGTAGATACACTGGCAAAGATTATAACTAACACGGCTGATAATGTCCCTGTGAAAAACATAAAGATTCCTGATTCTGATTGTGTAGAAATTCTAAAAGACAAAATAAAGAAGACATGGTTAGATCATTGGCATGAAACTTTACAAACTAAAGGTGTTTGGTATCATAATAATAATGATACAATCAGAAAGCCGTGGTTTGCTCAGACAAATTTTATTCACCGAAAATTTTACACTACAATATGTAGATTGCGACTCGGACATGGACGCTTTAACAAACATTTATTCAGAATGAACATGGTCTCCTCCCCATCATGCTCGTTCTGCAGCTTCTCAAGTCAGTCACTTCATCATTTGTTCCTCGAATGTCCTCATTTTGCTCTTCAACGAATATTTCTCAGTAATAGTTTGCTTGAAATCTACAATTCAGCCGAGAACATCCCGCGTTCCTTACCTGTACTTCTCCAAAACCCACAATGTTATTTGGCACTGTATAATTACATCAAGAGTACTATAGAAGATATTTAAACTTGGATTTCGAATTATTCTTTATGAAGACTTGAAGAAAAGAACTTTTAGTCTTGGCTGTATGGCGCATTTTGTCGTCTTTGCCTATTCTGTTTAATGAACGGAAAGAACATTACCAAAAAAAAAAAGAAAAAAAACGAACGTGCGACGCGGGCGAAGCTATTGAAAGCTTTATTTGTTTGTTCGGATTGCAAAATATTCTGTTTCTGTGTTTTTTCATATTAGTCGTGGTTAAATTGCAGTGAAAGGTAAATAAAATCTTCAATTTATTATCGACTGAAGAAAAATATTCAAAATCGTTGGGTTTTCTTTGGTGAAGTACGTAGGTACCTACCTAAGTAGTCGAAGAGAATTTAGTTTTTTCAATGAGGGTGTTACTGATTTTACTTGTTACCTATCTCTTTATTACAAGCTAAAACAAATAAAGCACCCATTCTATACCTACTTAAAATTATATGGTTAATATGTGCCCGTGTGACCAAGTCAGAATTTGTACATGCTGACTTGTTAAATTTCAAGTCGATTCGATGTCATATCTTTCTAGCAGTGAAAGTTTATTGTAAAATTCGACTGCCTTAACATAACGTTTGATTACCTTCTTTGTAATATTTACAGATCACCATGGATCCCAGTAAGGGTCGTGGCCGGGGTTTGGCCTTGCTCCAAGCCCTGAAAAAATCACAAATGATGGATTCGCCGCCACAGTCTGAAGAGGCATCTCCAGAAGTAACACCAGGGCCTAGTGTTGCGCCAAGTGAGGTAACGAAGGACTTCAATAACAACAATATAACACAACCCTGCATTTTATTCAAGGTCCACTTTCAAATCTACAATTTAATTTGCCAGCCAGTAGTTATAGTACTTGAATATTGTAAATTTGAGATCGCCCCTCACTTGTGACTGGCAGGCTTAGATTTCAATAATGACTGTTATTTTATTTATGCAAAATGATGTGTAAATTCTTTATCTCTAAAACAGCCCCTTTATTAAATAATAAGAACAAGCACATAATAATGGAGAGAGGTTTAAGGTAACTTTTTTAGCTTCTGAATAGTCCTAAGGACTTTGAGAACTATTTAAAATAGCAGCCTTGGATTAAAAGAAGAAAGCAAGCACTGGCAGGCATTCTGATAACAATACATACAGTAAAATCTGTTTATTATAACTCTGCCTATATTGACCAACCGCATATTATAACATAATTACACAACGAAGTTTGGTTTTCATATAAAATTCATTGTAGCAATGTCGGATATAATGACTTCGCTTACAGTGACATGTCGCTTATTATGACCCATTTTAATCAATTTTGTCTGTTTATAGTGACGGACATGGTTCTTTACACCTACGGTAATGTTCGTTGATTCCCGACAACATTCGGTATATGGCTCGTTTTTGTTTTGAATCCCAGTGAGTAATTTACATTTGAACATCACGCATTGTTTTTAGTAATATCCTATGTAAAAAAAAATACTTCTCAACGTCGTAAAGCATTTACGATTACGACTGAGGAAAAAGGTGCAATAATATGCTGATTAGAAAATGGAGAATCAATTTCATCTCACAATCTTTTTTCACAAAAATGTTTTGTATGACCACCGCTTAGTATGACGTGTTTGTTGATTCCCTTCGAAGTCATAATAAACGGATTCTACTGTAAATCACCTAAGAATATGACTATCCGGTTTCAACCCGATTCCGGATAGTGATACATGTACTAGAATAAGTACAAAGATTTAAATAACCATATTGTAAATGTATTATAGGCACTTGAAATTCAGTAAATCTGAAAAAGGTCATAAAGCTGAACTTGTCTTAACAATGACTTTATACAACATTTGGAAAATTGGCTTCTGAATTGGTTTCAATAAAAAAAGTATAAAAGTTTTTTTTTTTTTTTTTTTTTTTATAGATAGGTCCGACAAATGACTCCACCCCACCTGATGTTAAGTGAAGGTGAAGTCCAGACGCGAAGATAGCTGATACAGCAGTTCTACCTGCCACACCAGCCATCCTCACCCTGCCGGCCTGCATGTTGCTTCTTCACGCCTCTTTTAAAGGATCCCAGGTTGTAAGAGGGAGGGAACACGTGAGCGGGCAGAGCATTCCATTTACGGATAGTACGACAAAGAAATGAGTCACCAAATTTCTTTGTACGCGTTGGAATTGTAGCCACAGTTAGACGGTGACAACGTAAGCCAGCGCGCGTGGTCCTCTGAAGGAAAGGGGAAGGTGGAATAAGAGAGAATAACTCCTCAGAACACTCGCCGTGGTACAGACGATAGAATTCGCTTAGTGACGCCACGTCACGGCGTAATTGAAGAGGCTCGAGGTGTTTAGACACCTCCTCATCACCTATGATGCGTATTGCGCGCCGCTGTAACCTATCCAAAGCATCGAGCAAGTACTTGGCGGAGCCATCCCAGAGGTGCGAGCAATATTCTACGCAAGACCGAACCTGCGTCTTATATAACAAGCATAGTTGCTCGGGCGTGAAAAAACGCCGCACCTTGTTCAGGACTCCGAGTTTGCGTGAGGCTGTTTTTATCACACTTTCGATGTAATTTTTTGGATTTAAGTCACAGCGAATCTCCATACCGAGCATGGTGATACTGCTCTCTAGCTCCAGTGTTGTGCCCTGAAGAGAAGGACATAAAAGGAATGGCGACGTTTTTGCCGTGAAAGCGCAGACCTGGGTTTTCTTAGCATTGAACTCAACCAAGTTCTTGGTACCCCATTCAGAAATGTGGTCTAAAGCCTGATTGAGTTCAATGACAAGATTCTCCCGTTTCTCCTTGGTTACCGCCTGCCCAGCCGCTGCTTGTCCGAGATACCCCGCGTGCACTGTACTGTCGTCTGCATAGCAATGAATATTCCCAAGAGGAATTAGGTCATTGATATGCAGCAGAAAGAGAGTGGGGGATAGGACGGAGCCCTGGGGAACGCCGGCATTCACTGACATGAACCGCGAACTGCTACCATCCGTAAGGACACGAATTCTACGCTCATGCAGGAAGTCAGCTACCCAAGAACAGAACTGGGCCGGCAGACCGTATGCCGGAAGCTTGGAGAGAAGGCTTTTGTGCCAGACCCTGTCGAATGCCTTGGCAATGTCTAGGCTGATAGCCAACGACTCGCCCCGCTTGTCGATAGCCTCACCCCAGATATGAGTCAAGTACGCTAGAAGATCACCCGTCGATCGTTTCGGTCTAAAACCATATTGACGATCATTAATCAGGGAGTGATCCTCTAGGTAGCGGGTCAGATGGTTGTTAAGGACCTTTTCTAGGACTTTACATAATACTGAGGTGACTGCTATTGGCCGGTAGTTTGCCGGGTCTGAGCGATCCCCTTTTTTGGGTACCGGTTGCACGTTAGCATTTCTCCAAGTCTCCGGCACACGCCCCAAAGAATACGAGCACTGGTACAAACGCGTGAGCACGGGAGACAACTCCGCTGCACATTTTTTCAATACTACTGCTGGGATGCCATCAGGTCCACTAGCTTTCCGGACGTCGAGTGATTGCAATTCGGCACGAACCTCACGCTGCCTGATTTTGATATCAGGCATCGTTGTGCCACAATGAGGTAATAATGGTGGCAGTGCATTGCAATCATCGATTCGGGAGTTAGCCGCAAAGAGTTTTGCCAGTAAATCGGCTTTCTCCTGCGGCTTATGTTGCATAGGACAAGGTAATAAGAGCTATTGGTAAATACAGCAGTACATGGAATAATTTTGCTAATATTGAGACTTACTGACTACTGAAATTGATTCATTTGCTTATTTGTAACAAACTCAATATCAATTAATAATAATTCACAAACATTATTAATATCTCAAAATTTATCCATGTTAATATATGAGAGCTCAACTAAAAACTCTTGTTTCCCCCAGGCTATTTGCTGAAAACATAAAAAGCCAGGGCCACACCTCAGGCCAAATCCCACACTGTGATATGTTGTGAAATTGTTCAATATCTAATATTTATCAAATGTATTACATATTTGTTATTAAATACTGAAAATCCCACTATTTGTACTTATTTTCTAATTTCTTCTTAAAAAACTTTTTTCGCTTTCATAATCAATATTTTTTTAAATAAAACTGCTGTAATATATATACTTGTAAGAATGGTTCTACTTTTTAAAGGTGAGCGCACAAAGTACAGCTGCCATTGGAGGAAGAGGGAGAATGGCTGCTATGATGTTGTCAAATATGCAGAATAAAGCTGGAGGTATGTGCAATGTTGTTATTACATCAGTCATTTATAGTAAGAAGTAACTACAGTGGATTGAATCCTTCTAGGGTCTAATTTTTAGGTTTCATACTTAAACATTGATAAGTGAAACCATATTACCTGTACCTAGTTGTCTGTATTTCATATGGCAGCAAAATTAATTCTTTTTTGTTACATGAGGTAGTGGAACAAATGACTGACAAGAAATAATGATCAACAAAAAAACAAGAGCAGGCCACAAATTTTGTCGACCTCCATGACCGAGTGGTTTGGTAGTGAGTGGCCGGGTTTCATGGTGTTGCCAACTCGAGAGGTCCCGGGTTCAAATCCTGGTGGGGGCAGATGTTTGTGTGATGAATACGAGTGAGTGTGAGTCATGGATGTTTAATATTTATTTCTATATAAATATACTTATATGTATTCTACCCATTACCCTAGTATCCCATAACACAAGCCTTACAGTGCTTACTTTGGGGCTAGGCTAATTGGTGTGAGTGTTGGAAATATTCATTTTATTTATTAATTTAATTACTAAATAGGGTAACACCAAGCCTCTTTGCCTTGGTGTAATTACATTTAGCAATTGCCTATTAGCCCCCTCTACTTTCATTGATCATAAAAACAAATGTTGATCACTGGTTCCTGTCGGTCATTGGTACCACTAACTACTAGATATCTGTCTTGCAAATTCACATAATTTTGTGCATACTTACTATCTAAAAGGAAAATTATGAAAATTATAAATCTTGTATAGGTCTGTCATTCAGCCCAGCATCAGATGTCAGTCCATCTCCATCGGTAGCCAAAGGTGCTGGCAGGGGATTAAAGTTGCTACAGAATTTGTAAGTATGAATTTGGTTTTATAAGCCGTTTCGGCTGTGCGTTGAAGAGTCAGTAATTCAGTATCCTCTTCTTTCTTTATTAGTATCTCTTATCTATTAGACAAGTCCGTCCGTCTGTCTGTGGTGCTGTTTCAGCGGCCAAACCGTAAGAGATAGATAAAGAGAATATTTAAGTTATAAGTTAAGAATAGTCTGATAAGACTACAAACCGGTAACTGGTAATTTGAGTAACGTAGCACTTCCGGTTTTCGAGAAATCAGGTTTTGGTGAACATTTGGTTCACTGGTTTGCTAGCAGATAATAATACATAGTTTGCTACATTGCACTGAAATAGGTATATGCCTATTAAAATGATTAAATCATATGTTTATATTCATAAACAAATATTATTTTCAAAAATGTTGCCATCCCTTCTGGCTTACCTTTCATAGACATGTACATTTTGTATTGCTTTTCGTTGGCTGTACTTTAGTATTCATTTTGCGCGTCGTTCTAGACAAACGGCAAAAGCTGCAGATCCAGGAGGTCAGGGTGATGTGAAGCAAGTCACACAGAAGATGGCTGAAAGCACCATATCTTCAACTACTGTCCCAGCTTCATCAGTGGCCAAGAATAAGTTTTATGTGAGTAAAATTGTTTATTATATAATTTTATTATGTTGTAGTAACTTTGTCTTTCTGTAATGCTTTTACTTTAATTTTGTAACTCTTTGAAGTATATAGATAAATGTCCCATATCACATAGACAATAGTCAAAATGACATCTAACTTTTCAGAGGGAAGTCAAAGAAACACCCCCAGTCGTGAAAAAGGGTGAGACTGGTACACCTGTGGAAGTCACGGCCAATTTTGTATACCTCAATTTTGAGGAAAATAACGTGTTTGAATACGAGGTCAAGTATGAGCCAGATCAGGACTTCCGCCATCTTAGATTCAAATTGCTGAATGGTAAGTTCCTCATGAATAAAGCTTTGTGTATATTATGTGGTATGATGATTTGATAAATCTAATTTCGGCGAAAATCCTAGAGATTTTCAACTCAACAACACTAACCTTACCTAGTGTGAACTCAAGAACCTAAAAATATTTATAATAATCCAATTACTCTTTTTGCAATCTTACTGAGGCAACTCGCGTTTTCGCAAAAATACTATTTTTTTTTTTTGTAAAATCGCATTATTCGCGTTTTCGCAAAATCCCTTGGATTTTCGCGAAAATATGATTTATCAAATCCTCTTTTGACATATACATAAATCAAATCGGAAACGAAACGGCACCGTATCGCATATTGTAACTCTCTTTATAGCGATTCAAAATTTATTTTAAGTGACATTCCATGCCCCTAATTACCCCACATTTTCTTACTGCGCCGTGATTTGCACTAACTTCTTAACTGCCATTAAGTTTATGTTACCTCTTCATGGTTTAACAGCTTAACCAATATGAAATTTGGTATGGATATAGTTTGAGTCCCAGGGAAGGCAAATCCAAAAATCACCCTTTAAGAGGTTAAGGAGGGGGTGAAAGTTTATATGGGAAATCAAATTTTCCATGCAGATGAAGTCGCTGGCACCCACTAATCCTTATATAAAAGTGGGAATTGTACTGGTTTATGACACCAGGTGGGGGTGTCGATGGAAAGTTGTCATAAACATTGTATGCATCGTAAACTTTGTCATATGTTCTACTCTACAGAATTAAAGACGATGTAAGTTAAAGTAGCATGGTTTACGATCACGATGTAACTAAAGTCAGCCTTAACATTAGGGGTTTGTTTCCAGTCGCCCTCTCGGGTATAGGCCACCAGAGGCAAATTGGAATAAAAAAGAATGAAGTGGGGGTAATGAGTTCATTAACATTTGCCTCCGGTGGCAAATCCCGTGGGGGCGACTAGGAATAAAGGACTGCAAGTATTGCTACTGGAAGCAAAGGGGATTAAAAATTTGAATTGGGGGCAGTGACTTAATTTCCATTTTCCTCCAGTGGCAATCCCCTATATACCATTGTATTATATTATATATGCAATTATTATTATTATTTTTTGCATGCAAAAATCTTAAGTGGTATTAGTGGTGTGTTTTCGTGTAATTGTTGCGTGCATGCGTTAAAGATGTTGGTTAGGATTAGGGTTGCCAACCCTACTATATAAAATATAGTATCCTACTATATTTATAAGAAAATATATAGTAGGCGAAACTACTATATTTTGCTTAAAGCAGACGTTTGCCAGTAAAAGCTTTGTTAAAAATAAAAACTGAAATATTTAGGCATAGAGCAGCAAAAATATACTCATTTCAAAAATAAAGTAAATATTTTAACCACATACTTTATTTTTTATTTTTATTTTGGCATCTACTATATTTGTAGAGGTTCCAGCTTCGAAATACTATATTTTATAGAAAAAGAGTTGGTAACCCTAGTTAGGATAAACTTAAGTAGTTACATCATTTAGTTGGTACAGTATTAATAAATTACAGTAATATATATTTTGCTTTCAGAACACAGTCACTATTTTAAAGAGAAGACCTTTGATGGTACAACTTTGTATGTGCCTCACCGACTTCCAGATGAGGCCACGAATTTGGTTTCAACTAATCCATTCGACGACAGCAAAGTGAATATATCTGTGAGTATTTTCAACCATAAAATAGGTTGGTATTAACTCTTGACCAGCAGGTATTGGAAAACCTTTGCTGGTCAGAAATAACAAAATGTAATCATCTTTAGCCATAGCAATCCCGATAGGCGGTAGGGCCCCAGGGTAGATTGTCATTGGCACACTATTTATTTTAAATGTTTGTTTTTACTTAATGTAAATTTTATTGTTGACATGTAAGTACATTATTTTTCTTGAATTTAGATTTGTAGTTATACCTCAAACAATTTTACTTCATCATCCCATGAACGGCCATTCATCATCATCAGCCTATTAATGTCCTCACTGCAGGAGAACAGGCCTTCCCTATGGATGGAATAGGGAGATTGGGCCATGACCCACCACGAAGGCGAAATGGTGGGTGCTAAGGTATGCAGATACAGTCGGGACCAGCCAACCTTAACGTGCCTTCCGAAGCACGGAGGAGCACGAGATAGTAAATTTTTGGTCACCCATCCAACGACCGATCACTACGAAAGTTGCTTAACCTCAACGATCGCGGCTGAACGCGCTAACCATTTGCATCAACGATCTCCTCAATTGTTCATTAATTTACAATATTTGACCGTAGATAATATTCCGTCGCACGCGCCGCTTGAGCGAAATGATCCACATATACAACGTGCTATTCAAGCACATAATGAAAGATCTACAGTTGGTGCGTTTCGGCCGCCAACATTTCAATGAGCACGCCGCCATACAAATACCGCAACATAAATTGGAGGTTTGGCCAGGGTAAGGATTTCATATTATTTTTAGCGGTACATAAAACAGAGAAATCCCAATAGATATGTTTACAATTAGGGTAAATGTAACAAAAGTAATAATAATTGGACATAATAATAAAATCTTTATTCAGTATTAATAATAACATTTAAGTGACTTAGATCTAAGACTGATCTAAGTTCTGACTTAATTTCTGTCTTTCCTTTTAATTTATTTGCGTGTAATATCACTCTTTCTTTAGAGTCGCATGGGTGTTTCGTAATTTTGTAACTCATTGACATTAACAGATACGTGACTGCCGTCGACGAATACGAGGGTGGATTAATGTTGACCTTAGACTCTACTCACCGCGTGCTAAGAACGCAATCAGTACTGTCCTTTATAAAGGAGACTGTCCAATCAGAAGGGTCCAATTGGAAGAGAGCAATGGCTGAAAGACTGGTCGGATCCTCTGTAATGACCACATATAACAAGAAACTGTTCAGGTAAGTCTAACTTCTATAATGGATCCAGAAAAAACCCACCGCGTCCTAAGAATACAATCGGTAGTGTCCTTTATAAAGAAGACTGTGCAATCAGAAGGGTCCAATTGGAAGAGAGCAATGGCAGAAAGACTGGTCGGATCCTCTGTAATGACCATGTATAACAAGAAACTGTTCAGGTAAGTCTAACTTCTATGATAGATCCAGCAAAAACTCACCGCGTCCTAAGAATACAATCGGCAGTGCCCTTTATAAAGGAGATCGTGCAATCAGATGGGGCTAATTAGAAGAGAGCAATGGCTGAAAGACGGTTTTGGATCTTCTGTAATGAGCATGTATAAGAAGAAACTGTTCAGCCCCCGTAGCATGAGCACCACAATTTACTTTTTATCACGATTTTTATTGCGTCTCACTTTCATACTTCATAGAAATTTGACAATTGAGCGTGATAAAACCGAATTATATATCATATCGCGGTGTTCACGCTAAGGGGGCAGGTAAGGTAAACTTCTTTAATAATGGTGTCGATTCTAGCATGATTCTCTAAACCTAAACTTAAATTTGACAGCAGTATATCCTTGTCATTCTCTATACAGAATGAAAAGGAGAGACTGATGTTAAATTTAGTTTTAAGTTTAGAGAATCACGCCAGAATTGGCACCAATATCTTCTTTATTTCTTCTACAAAAAGAAAATCGTTGAATGTTACAGATACTAACTTGGAAGCTGATAAAGTTTCCTGCGGTTGATATAGTCTCCAGCGCGTGTTTTGCCCTACACAATCAACTAAGACTTATCAACATTCAACAAAACCGTCAACACAAAACTTTGTTTCACTAAACATAAATGTTTGTATCAACAAAGTTTTTGCTTGCCGAGCCCGATGAAAAACACGTACACAATTCCCCCCCGCGCGGGTCGAGGGGCAGGGTATTGTTTCACCGGCCATTTTTTTGACAACTTGCTAGCGGGGGCTACGTTCCAAACCTACGCTCCGAGTGCAACTTTTCACTCTGACGTTTCAATTTTGACATAATATATAAAAACGTATGAAACTTGTCAAATTTGACATTTCCACCATGCATTCTGTGTACGGCGGCCACGAGAGCAAAAGACATCGTGTGCAGAGAAACATGTTTCAGAAACAAAGTTTTGTGTATGTGTCTTTGTTGAATGGTTTAAAAAACTTTTGCTGGAGACCCGACTTTACAAAACATGTTGTTTATACTATTTTGCTCCTTATGGTTCAATTACATTTGGTTGTTAGCCCGTATTTGTGCCATTAGTCGCTTACCCGAATTTTATTGGCACTCGTATTCGAGCTAGCGATCAAGTGCAATCGCGCCATTAGTGTATTCCTCTAGTCCATGAGGTGTGTCACGTATATAACAAAATATCTATACAATGAGGATTAGATAAAGATTGAGGTTGATAGATGAAGTTTGTAGAGATCCTCTACAAACTTGGAAACCATTCAATTGTCTCTTTCTGAATTATTTTACCCTCCCTGCACTATTGGTACAATAATTAATTAAAGGCAACACAATTCTGTTTTGACTTTCTAAAGATAATTTCTAAATCTTCCCCTCAATTACAAAACTTGAAAAAATGTTAAATCCGGTTTAAAAACTATGTAATTCTTGACCTTTGTTTGGTGTAGATATGACAAACAAAGCATTAGATTTCAAGTAAATTAAGTCTTAACTTCATACCATGTTTTCGAATGAGGCAATGGTTTCGGTTTTATTGTTGGGTACTTTGCATCATGTCAATATTGTACAAAATTTACAGAGTAGACAGTATCGACGACACAATGAATCCAAGGTCTACATTTGAGAAAAACGAGAAAGGTCAACTTGTGAAGATCAGCTACATAGATTACTACAAGAAAAACTATGGTATAGACATCATGGATTGGGACCAGCCGATGCTCATCTCAAGGTGAGAAATTATAAATAGAAATCAACATATTTGCCTCTTAACTACAAAACATTCAATAAGTGCTTCTTCGGTATCATCTTTGTATATAAAATAGGTATGACAACTACCTTTTTTTTCTTTGTCTATCAGGTACAGTATCAAAAAATATTAGACATGTATTTTTTCTTTATTCACATAATCAAATCATTACAGGGATATATTGGTTTGAAATGACGCATGCATATTTTTATTAGGTACAATTTTTACTTAAAAGTGATGTTAAGAACCCACTCCCAAACATTGACGCGCTTTATCTTTGTAATTTTTTGGTTGAATGACCAAAGAAAAAATACGGATTCATTATTTTTTTAATAAACTAACTGACGGACTTAAAATTTCTTTTACCCCGTTACCCCTATTTCACATTCTACGCAAGTCGCCGCAGGGGCCATGAATTCTTAGCCTAAATGCTGATTTACACTTCGTTAAGTACAGTAGCGAGTTAACTTATGGTCTTGGCGATTTAAGTTCTTATCGTTTGGACAGGGATTTGCCAGTTCAGTACGTTCTGTTGAATTGTCCGATTTCTAACGAAGTGTAAATTTCCAATTGGCGCTAGGTGCGGGTGGAAGTGTAAATTTCCAATTGGCGCTAGGTGCGGGTGGTGAAATAAAAACCCTAAAGGGAATGCACGGCGCCATGTATGCGAGCGTGCGGTAAAACGTTTTACCGCATGCTCCATTGTGTGGTCCGTAATTATGAACTTTCCTACAATTTATACAACCTCCGTAAATGTATTTTTCAGCAAATATGTTAAAAATATTATTTTTGAAATAATCCCATGATACTAAGAAACTATCAGGTTCCGAAGCACCTACAGACTTCATTATCTACTTTGCCTTAGTTGTGTCAACTCATGGCTCTGACAGACGATCACTAGTTGGTAATTTTTTCATATCTAAAATGTTATCTTTCAAATTATCCAGGGATACTAAGAAGATGTCTGGTTCTGAAGCACCTACAGACTTTATGATCTGCCTGGTGCCCGAGTTGTGTCAACTCACTGGACTGACAGACGATCAGCGTAGCAACTTTAAGCTTATGAAGGATGTCGCTACGTATACCAGAATTACGCCTAACCAACGTCATGCTGCGTTTAAAAAGGTATCATCATCGGATTATGTCTCCATTCCTAGGGCTAAAATATATATCAATCGGCACACTTAGCTGGACATTTTAAATTTGATGGTCCTTAGTTAAAAATAAAATTTATATTGATTTAAAGTTTTTTAAAACACACGAAAATCATGGTTACTAAATTAGCTTCAAAACTGAACACTGGCTATGACCCAGTAACAATGTAATTCTAATAATCCTGAGATTTCTCTACTCTACACTATATAACTCATTATCATCATCAACCTATTAATGTCCACTGCTTAGGCCTTCCTTTTTGATGGGCTAGGGAGAACGAGTTATGATACAAAACGCCAGCCTAATATGGAATGGTGGGTGCTTATTACTGCAGATGCCAGGAATTAAGAGTTAAATGTGCCTTCTAAAGAATGGAGCAACTCGAGATTGTAAATTTTTCGACACCTATTCGATGACGGGCATTGTGAAAGTTGCTTCTTCCATGAACTTCCATGATCGCAGACCGAATGAGCTGCAATATTCAGCTTATTAAAATGGTATAATTCTTAAATCTATACTATCTACTTCTTCTTATTGGCTTGGGCTTTTTTTTCATTTTCCAATTAATTAATAAATGAATAAGGCCTGATTAGTTTCTCCATGTTTTGTCTCTGTTCAATGACAAATTAAATTTGAATGATAGGAACAACTAACTAGTCTTAGCTTATTCCTCTTTTATTAATAAGGGGTTTGTCTATAATTAAACTATTAGGAATTTCAGTGCCATGCTAAATCATTCATAACAAATTGTGAGTATATTATTTTCTTCTACTGCAGTACATTCAAAATGTAATGAACAACGAAACAGCTAAGAATCGCCTCAAAGGTTGGGGTTTGAGTTTAGCTCCTGAGACTATCAATATCACTGCTCGAACACTACCTCCGGAGACTCTTTACTTCGGCAACAATGTTAAAGTGGCCGGAAAACCTAATGCAGAGTGGAACGGTGAAGTCACTAAGAATGCGGTTATGCAAGCTGTCGATATACTGAGATGGTCTATTTTGTATACGGAGAGGGACAAACAAGTCACGATGGTGAGTTTATATGGCTTATTATAGAGTTGATTGAAATAATTTCATAATTTGTAATTATCTAAATGGAAAATAATCTTTAAATAACAGATAAGTTGTTGCTGGTACAAAAAAAGGTGCCAAGTTGTTAACCATCTTACTTTCTTTATTTGTATCATTAAAATATTTTATTGATCATTTGGTAGAATAATAACTTAATTATGATTGATAAATTAATGGTTCAATTCTTGTGACACATATGATTACCTAAAGTATATGGGATAACTGCTTGTTGTATGTTTAGTTCTTAGTTTTAAAAAAACACACTTGTTGCATTAGTAATAAGCTGTAATAAAACATGGATACAAAAGCATAACACAAAGACTACAAGATGAAGGATAACTTGAGAATGACTTAAAAATTTCATGCAAGATGCATGAATGCATTTTTCAGTTTTCTAATACTTTATAGAATCTTCTTATAGTATAAAATCAGAGAGTCTGGTGACTTCAGTTAACGAGGAAATGGTAGGTGGAAGCTAGTAAATAAAACAAATTATCACATTTTCAGGATTTCATGGAAACTTTGAAGCGTTCCTGCCGACCTATGGGTATAACTGTCTCAAACCCAGATCTGGTCCGTTTACCAAACGACAGGACGGATTCCTATGTGATGGCTTTGAAGAAATGCTTCTCTGCGTCACTGCAGTTGATCGTAGCTATTTGTCCAACAGCCAGGGATGACCGGTATGCTGCTATTAAGAAGATCTGCTGTGCTGATAACCCTGTGCCTTCTCAGGTAAGACTTTAAGGTTCTGTACCTAAAAGGTAAAAAGGGAATCTTTATGCTGTCACTCTGTAGTCTGTCTGTAGGGGTTTCTAGATCGTAAAGGGAATAAGTTAAGCGGCTGAAATGTTGGTATTTATGTAGAATGCTTGCCCCAAGCCGAATATTTAGTTAAAAAATCAATTAAATTATCTTTTATGGGGGTCCCATATGGTAGGGGTACTCAAGCAGAGATTTTTGGATTTATGTTTTTATTTTTGAAGCATAACTGCTAGATGTTTAAATCTAAAGAAAAGTTGACTAGAAAAAATTCCACGCGGACCAGGCAGCAGGCGGGACTCGTACCCGCACCCTTCGCTATCCGAGCGAATGCACTAACTATTATGCTACCGCGGCCCTGATGGCTGTGTCGAATTTTCTCTAGCCTTAGGCTGCAAGGCAGCGCCATATTAGTTTGGATTTACTCGAGGGAGGCAGATTATCATAAGGCGGACAACCTTGCACCTTGTAAAGTACTCTCACTATACCTGAGTCCTCGGGTACTAGACCCCTCTGTGTAGGGCTAACCGTCTAGCTTAAGCACGCTATTCTATTCTATCATTATCTGATGACCATTTATTGTCAAGTAGGCCTTTTGCTTAATGTTTTTTGCTAGATACTCAAAAAAACGTCATTTGCCTAGGTGATAAACGCGCGAACACTGATGAATCAACAGAAGATACGTGCCATAACACAGAAGATTTTGTTGCAAATAAACTGCAAACTCGGCGGTACTCTGTGGAATATCGCTATCCCTTACAAGACTGCAATGATCATTGGTATTGATTCATACCATGACGCAAGCAGAAAGAAGCGGAGTGTGTGCTGTAAGTTTGTTTGTTTTGTTTTATCATCATCATCAGCCTATTAATCTCCCCACTGCTGGGGCACAGGCCTTCCCTATGGATGGAATAGGGAGATTGGGCCATGACCCCACCATGCGGGTCCAGTGCGGATTGTTGGGTGGTAACGACTGCAGATGCAGCCGGGACTAACACTTAATGTGCCTTTTAAAGTACAGAAGAGCTCGAGAAAGTATATTTTTGGTCACCCATCCAATGACCGAATACTACAAATGTTTCTTTAATGATCGCTGATCTGATCACGCTAACCACTTGCGCCATCGAGCTCTTCATTTTATTGTTTATCAATTGGATGTTTCATTTTGATTTTTTTAGAAAGATATTCATCCGCAGCACATAGCTATTTCTGGTTTTTGTCTTAATAGTGACTAGAAATATCATAGTTTCATCTAGAATTGTCATTTTATTTTTACTGCAAACTAATATATAACTATAATTACTAATATAATACAACTATAATTTTACTTTTTTAAGCTAAATGCTTTACTGTTAAAATCTAACTAGATGTGAAATAATATAATTAATTAATAAGAATTGATATTATGTATCGAAAATTTATTTGATTTTTGGTAATTCAACATAACCAACCGTAGGTACAACTGTAAAGGTTAAAAAATCTCTTTATAATTATTTTGCCAAGTACTTGATGTACTTGGAAGAATTTGGCATTGTATAAAAGTCTAGATAAAGTTATTATATTTAGGGCAAATGTTTATGGAAAGAAAGAATTTTAATAGCCTTAAATAATAAGATTACACAAAGCAAAAGCAATAACAGAAAAAAAGGCAACTAAGTCCCTGCCTCATAGTGCCACAGCGACGCCAGAGCCGCTGCGGCGCTGATATTCTGGCAGGGTCTAAGGTTGACGAGACTAAAAACTAAATATTTAAACAATTAATTACAATAAAAACTAACATATGGGTGGAATCTATTTATACAGTATATCATTGAAATCATATCCTATTAACAAACAACTTATGGGGTAGTATGTGGTATATTTAGGCAAATTCCTAGGAAAGTTATACATCCTTAACGTGATAAACAAGTCAACATTATATTGAAACATATGGTATTATCGAAAAAAAACCTTGCCATAAATAGAATATTTTCAAAGTAAAGAATATACAGAAATCACAATTCCTATATTTCTTTAACTTTTTTTTCAGCATTCGTAGCATCATACAATCAGACAATGACCCACTGGTACTCTCGAGCAGTTTTCCAAGAGCGAGGGCAAGAGATCGTGGATTCCCTCAAGTCTTGTCTCGTCGATTCACTGAAGCATTACCTCAGGACCAACGGCAAACTGCCCGATAGGATTATCATATACAGGTAAAGTGCTATTTAAACTTAATGGCGGCTGTGAAGTTAGAGCAAATTCCAAGAGAGAGGGCAGGAGATTGTCGATTCTCAAGTCTTGTCTCGTCAATTTACTGAAACATTACATCAGGACCAACGGCAAATTGCCGGTGATAGTTGTAGTGTTACTGAGATGTATGATTTATATCCTACGCGGGCATTTAGGGACGTCTATCAACTTTTAAATGTAATGAAAATTAATACTGTAATTTTCTTTCAAATATTTAAAATTGACATACACATTCTATTTTTTTTTGTATTTCCAACACTTACACCAATTAGCCTAACCCCAAAGTAAGCACTGTAAAGGCTTGTGTTATGGGATACTAGGGTAACGGATAGAATACATATATAAGTGTATTTATATGAAAATACATATTAAACATCCATGACTGGAGTACAAATGCTCGTATTCATCATACAAACATCTGCCCCCACCGGGATTCGAACCCGGGACCTCTCGAATCGGCGATACCATGAAACCCGGCGTATAAACCACTCGGCTACGGAGGTCGCATCTATAGATATGTTACGTTGTGACTTTCCTGTCTCGAGAGCCTCTATCTAAAAGTATAGTAAGGAATTTATTTTACCTTTAATTCCACAGAGACGGCGTAGGCGACGGCCAATTAAAGCTTTTGCAACAATACGAGATACCGCAAATGCAAGTTTGCTTCTCACTAGTCGGCGTCACGTACAAACCTACGTTGACTTACGTCGTCGTACAGAAACGGATAAACACGCGCATATTTATGAAAGCGGGCAGTGGCTTTGAAAATCCTTACCCTGGTACAGTGGTAGACCATGATATTACTAGGCGAGATTGGTGAGTAATTCAAATTGTTATTGGCAACATAACATGTAAATTTTCTTTAGTCAATTATGAATCTTAGGACAGATAAGGATCAAAATCAGTTAGATAGTTAGAGACAAAAAAAAATGGACAGTTCAATGAACATCGCAAACCTCTTGAGCAAAAGCACGAACAAACTTGCGTAGTAGACGTTTTCTCGTTTCTATTTAAAACTGCTAATGCGCAGGCTTCCTTGTCTATGGTCGATGCTCCAGAAGTTTGCCGGGGTGTATAACAACAACCACTCTTAGAATTAACACGCCAGAATCCGGTGCGACCTAGATCTTTAAGAATGTCACGAAAATTGGAGCTAACTTTTTTATGTCAATTACGGACATTTATGTAGACAGTGGCGCCCTCTCAGAACTGTCACTCACCTTCATAAAGGTCTTGGTCCGACTATATGAGAGACGGGTAGTCTCTCTTATTATAATCTAAACTTCCGGTCAAAGTAACAGTTTTATCGTTACGCGCATGGAGGTTAGAGAGAAGGAGAACGATCGCTACGTGCTAAAAGCATTAGCCCGCCTGTCCCTGAAAATTTGTAGAATATATAGTTTATTTTTCAGCCACCAGCCGCGCTGCCGTCGTTAAGTAGTATCTATGAAATTAGCTGTTTATGAGCACAATTAGATGAAGGTAGTTGAATAATATTTGAAATTAGCGCACTAGAGCCCGCTTTTATTGAGACAACTTAGCGATCGCAGCGCCTCACTTATTATGTTCATATATCTGAGACACTATTGATGTGTAACATCTTTCCTCTCGCTTTTGTGCAATTTGTGGGAGTGATTACGTGAAGTGGGACGGAAGTGTGTAACAATAAGTCGCGAAAGCGCGCTTTTTGATTTCATTTTAGAACATAATGTTCAAATTTCCTTTTGTAGTAGGTTTTTATTCTTTCTTCTGAGTTTCTTGCCGGTTCTTCTCAGTACAAGGTCTCTCGCCGTAGATTTACGAACCGATGGCGTAGCGTTTGATTTTCACAAGAGCTTGTAACAGCCTAGACTGAATAAATGAGTTTGAGTTTTGAGTTTTTTTTACTAATCTAAGGTGAAGTTTTCAAATGTTACACATCATACGCGACTACTGTAAGGCTCGCTCGTTTTTTTTTATACAGCGATCACACGCTCTGAGATGTATGGGGTTAGTAGTTGCGTTTCAAAGTCGCGTGCTTGAGAAAAACGATGTCTAAACAGCCTTTTGATACCGTCGGGTCGGCCTAAACACTTCTCAGTATAGATGACGTAATCACACGCGCCAATGCGCCTCCGTCTCCGTCGTGTGGGACACATTCCACAAACATCCAAAACTACACAACTAGCAAAGTTGTATACTAGCTTAGCATTAGGCAGACACCGCACCCGTAGGATAAGAGTGCGAAGACCCGCTCTACTACGCGCTGTACCAGGTACGGATACGTACTTGGGCGTTTTCCCCCTTCCCCTAACACTACGCTTAACCGACCCCCTCAGGTTCTAGTGGTCTAGAGGCTCCAGAGGTAGACGAGCCACCCTCCTTGGGGAGATGCCATTCGCCTGGAATACCTCTAGAGGCAATCGCCAATTCTCGGTTTGAAATTCCTTTAAGATTTCGCCGTCCCCAAACTCGGTGACGCTGTAAAGGTAATCTGCCACCAACTGCATACACACTAAGAAAAATGCTGTTTGGACAGCGCGTTGCACAACGGCGCGACTATAAAAGCAGCCTTAATGACAGTCGTGTGACGTCACATACCAGTGAGGCGCCAGTGAAAACGTTTTCACTGGCATTATCACTGGCACTTCGCGGCAAAATGAATTTTGAATTTTTGATTTAGGTTTTTTTACTGAAATACGTAACAGCAGGAATGGCTAGAACAATTAAAAAATGATGTCTGCACCTTTGGTAGAGATTGTGCTACGTTAAATACGATAGTTCCTCTCTGTGACATAAATGTCCTCTTTGTTTTGAACTCCTCCATGTTCTGACCATAAACTTATAGCTCTAAAAACTATCTAATAAATTTGTTTTTTTCGTCCACAGGTACGATTTCCTTATAGTCTCACAGAAGGTGAACCAAGGTACAGTGACGCCCACTCATTACGTAGTAGTTCACGACGACAGCGGCATGACGCCAGATCAATGCCAGAGACTTACTTACAAAATGTGCCATTTGTACTACAACTGGCCTGGCACTGTGAGAGTGCCAGCACCCTGCCAATATGCACACAAATTAGCATACCTAGTCGGACAAAATATACATCAACAGCCATCCGAATTGCTCTCCGACAAACTATTCTTCTTATAAGCAAAACCAACCATATACCTCTCTTATTTTAAGTCCACTATAATAAGACTTTCGAAATAGCATCGATTTATAAACAAATGCTGGTTATAGTGTCCGGAGTATTTCTATTTTTGTACGTTCCATTTTGACATTAGTAATTAATGTTTAATTATTATCTGCCGTTGTTTAGTTTTAAGATTGATGAGTATAGTTAGATTAAGAGACGTTAGCGTCACACGTTCGATATCAAACGATTTTAGACTCAGTTTCGGATAAATTCTAGAATTGTGAATACTACTCATCCAATGATCCGAAGATACTGTTGAAAGAGTTCAACACATAAAAAAAAATATAATTAGTTTGGTTCTTTAGCAGGGTCTCTAGTCTAGTAGGTTATAATATTCTATTGTCATGACTGTGCGTAGTTGTCTTAATTAAATTCCAATTGCGTTATTCTTTAATTTTATATTTGTAAGATATTATGCAATTGAAACTTTATTTTAGTTTGGCATATGTTTAAGAAACGTTAAATCTAAGAGCACATTAACAAGCATTAAAATGTAGAAAATTTCGAAGATAATTGCAATCAAATGTTTGAACTCACTTAAAGACATAAAAGATATTCCAAACAATTGTGTTTCGTAGGCTAGACTAAATATTTTTGAAAATTTTTCGCTTAATAAATTTAGTTTGATTTCTAAGTTATATATAAGATTGTATATGCGTTAAGGCTTAAAACATTAAGGATTGAATGTTGAACTTGGTCCCAATTATTATCATTTTTATTTTTGTAATAGGCAGAGCGGTCAATTTATAAAGAATTATAAACTTTTTGGGATTATAAACTTTAATCCCACACATATTATCCTTTATTAATAAACGAGGAATAAGGTTGGATTACTTATTACCACAAAAAGTTAGACATGCGTTGAACACGAGAAAAATATGTTATACTAAATTTGCCTATACATGATTTGAAACAGTGCCGTAACTTTTTTATAGTAAGATCATCTATATTTTGTCTCTTCATTGAATAGGCTAATTGACAGTATGAAAAATAAAGTACCAATTTTCATATTTAACGTGAATATTGGGAGTGACTTCACTATTCAGACAAAAAAATGTAAGTATGTATTACTAAAAGTCCTGACAGAAAAGTATTTTTGATCTATTGTCAAGTGAACGCAAACGCCTGGGATTGGCAAAGACTAAAATGACTTCACACGCTAGTAAACTTCCGGTCAAAGTGACATTACATTGTATCGTTTGACGGTTTAATGACAGACGTGTGACGTCACATACTAGTGAGACGCTTTGGGGGCGTCCATAAATAACGTGAGATATTTAAGGGGGGTGGGGGTCGAGTCAAATCTCATCTAATCTTCGTTGGAGAGTGGGGGGTCTCGGCAAATATCACGCAATTTTTTTTCTGATTGAAACAAAAAAAAAAACTATTTTGGTCCATTTAATCCAGATTGTACACGATTAAGATTTAATCTTAAGAGTAAGTAGATATTCTTTTTTTAATCGCAGTAGTTACGATTTAAGTATTCTATTGTTAAATTTTTATTACACTTATAACTTTTATTACTATTGATTACTAGTCTTAACTAGTCGTAAATAAAAGCACGAAGCAATTTTTTTTGTCATTTCACAATAACATTCCAACACGTTTACGTAAGAAACCCACATTTTTTTAAATCTCACGTGATATTGGGGGATGGGGGAGGGGGTTGAATAAAATCTCACGACATCTCACAGAGGAGAGGATAGAAAATTGAAAAAAACATCTCACGTAATTTATGGACGCCCCCTTTACTGTCCAGAGAATCGTTTTTGCGGCAACTAAAAAAGAAATTTTTGATTTAGTTTTTTTACTGAAATACACAACAGAATGATAAATATCCACTTTTTATGACTCCATAAACATTAGTAAATTATGTGCGATTGTTTTCTAAAACTTGGCAAAACTCTATTACAAATGTCACTAGAGTGTTATGAACAAAACACGGCGTAGCTAGTTAAGCTTGTTCCTTGTTTATTAATAAGGGGGATAGTGTTTAACCCATTTATTACAAAACGTTGACTAAAGTAAAACCCGGTCTAAAGATGATCTTGTCACTTGTTTGCTAAAGAGAAGACAGAGATAGCATTAGGGTTTTAACCATGCCTAACTTTAGTCCACGTTTTGTAATTAGGAGTTAATTGCTTTTCTAAATGAGTAGTAGTATGCAAATAAGTTTTTTTTTTAAAACCAATTTGCTTGGTTTAAATTTTTTTGCTATGCACTGTGTTACTTGGCTAGTATCAGGGCAAGAGTATTTTATGTTAATTACATGTGTGTTAGTTAAATGTAGAGTTTATGATATACCCTTAAGTCCATTAATACAATAAGGAGGTAACTCATTACCGCAAGCCATGTTGGCTTTCATATAATACTCTACTCACGGAATGCTAAGCTTACGACGACAATACAATGACGACATATCACTCATAGGAAGAATCAGTTTCGTTAGGATTACATTTAAGAATAAAGTTAAATTGTCTGTCTGATGAGGTTGAAAATTTGCTTAAAGAGTCTATTGAATGAAACAGAAAAGGTGCGTGTCGCTTTCTGTCGATGTGGATAAGATAACTAAGGAATTACCTATTGTATTGTTATCGTTACTCATTTCAATGACGGCCCCATTTCTCGAATAATTTAGTTTTAACATACCAAATTTTATTGAATTATCGATATGATTCAGTTTGTTATTTAGATTTTACGGTAATGTTTTTATTTGTTTATTATTGTCTTGTTTCACTGTCTAATGTAGATTTAAAGATTATTTTGAATAAAATTTGTAATGGTTTAGTTATACAGAATGGTATACGTCGACATTTAAAGATATGAAGATAGACGCAAAATTTAAGATACGATATTAGATATTCATTTTTATACCGCTTTAGATTTGCCAAAGATTAGAACACTTTCTCGACTACAGCATCGTAGTAATGAAGGAAACACAATATAGAGGTATATATTTTTATTTTCAGTAACAAATAGGTCCTACCCATCACAGTAAAACCTCACAGTCCTTTTTCTTCGATCACCATTGTAATATCTAGTTTCAGTGTATATTATTAGTAATTATTGTGTTTTAATAGTTTTTTTTTTCTAAAAGGATATTACGTCATATATGCCGGTTAATGTAATTGTTCATTGTTCTGTCTCATTTCTTATAAAAAGTGGCGCTAAGTGGAACCGCCTTCTGTGTGAATCTGAATTCAAAGCTGTCGACTGATGTTATACAATATGCGGATTATGCATAGTTGTACTTTAATGTTAATTACTTTTCCATTCGTAACAGTAATTTTGTTAATTCATTTTATTTAAGATAGGAGCCTCCGATATTTCGGCACTGTTACAAACGCCATGGTCACGTGTTTCAGAGACGCCCTCTAGTTGAGCGGCCCTTTCAGGTTCGAGTGGTCTAGAGGCTCCATAGGGAGAGGAGCCTCTCCCTATGGGAAGATGCCATGGTCACGGAGTAACTGACTTTAAAAGTAACTGAGTAACTCCATGATCATGGCGCTTGCAACAGTGCCGAAATATCGGAGACTCAAAAAACAAGGTACATGGTAACAATCCCGTTAATAACTATAATGTTAGTGACCATGAAAGTTTAAAACAACATAAGGAATCTTGAGGTTTTAAACAATGCTTTTTCTGGCAAAATACTAAAACAGTATATAATAAATTGTAAGTTTGATATTTTTTCTTAATAAATAAGCAATAAAATAGTTTCTATTTTAATATTTTTTTACGTGTATATTTCTAATAAATTTACGGCAAATTAAACGTTACTAATTACCAAATTTCTTACTATTTGGAAACTTTATAACAATAAGAAAAAACGGCTTAAATAAAAACAAAACTACTACTGATGTAACGAACTTATTTACTCAAATCTGATGGGGTCGCATGTGGATATAACCTGGAACCAAAGTACTCATCAAGATGAATCAAACGAGCCCACACTGATGTCGTTTTATTCACGTATCATATGGCCACATTCTAGCTTCATCAGCTAAACTGATTGATCGATATAGAATGTGAATTCGAAAAATATCTAAGGTCATCATCATCCACATCTGGACATAGGCCTCTTCAAGGGATTTCCATAAACAACGGTCCTGCGCTTTCCGCAAGTACCTTGGGACCACAACGTCCATCAGCCCGTTGAAATATGTGCCCCGCCCATTGCCACTTCAGCTTTGCGATTCGTTGAGCTATGTCGGTTATTCTAGTTCTACGGATTTCCTCATTTTTGATTCGATTACGTAGAGAAACACCAAGTATAGTTTTCTCCGTTGCTCACTGTGCGACTCTGAGCCTTCTTATGAGCCTCATGCTCAAGACCACGTCTCACCTCCGTAACTAACTGAGGATACCGCACTGAGGTATTGCGGACGAGAGACATCGCGAAGTTTCCCAAACGCTGCTCAGGGGGCCAATCGCCAGGATTCCTATGGCTATCGCTATTGCGTAAGATTTCATTTTGTTATTTCTGATCGCCTATGGGTTTCAAGTACCTTTTATTTTGTTATTACCAATGCAAAAGAAAAACAGAGCGCGAGGCATTTGAATACCTTCGGCGGTCAGAAATAACAAAAAGAAATAGTAAGCCATAGCGATAGCCATAGCAATCCTTTTATTTGAGTGTGTATGCTGTTGGTCGCAGATGACCTTTACAGCGTCACCGTGTTTGGGGACGGCGAGATCCTAAGGGGACCTCAAGCCGAGAATTTGTAAGTGTCTCTAGAGGTATTTCAGGCGGATGGCATCTCCCCACGGGGGACGCACCTCTCTGTCTGGAGCCTCTAGACCACTCCAACCTGAGGCGGCTCAACTAGAGGGCGTCTCTAAGACTCTGACCTCGGTTCTAGTTAGCTGTTGTCGTGGGGGCGATAGCAATCCCGTGGCGATTGACCCCCAGCTGAGTTAGGGCATAAAAATGTGGGAACATAAAACTGCGATCGCAGAAACTTGGGATGCAAATTGCTGCGATACGACAACGGTAGTAAGCCGTATTGGTCGTGTTTTAGTAATAGTGACAAGAATCGCAAAAAGATTGTTGCACTGTTATTGTTAAATAGATATAGAAGAAAAATAAGATTTTGGGATTATCCATTTAATACGATTATGAACGCTGATGGGAACTAAGTATTTTACTCGAATATACTATGGTTTGAGAACAAGGAAGATATTTTTTTGATTATTTTAGAATGAGCATGTCTTCATTTGAAGACCTTTTAAGTTTATCATCACCATCTCCACAAAAACGATCGTACAAGGGAATTCTCAGAGCTTCATAATAGTTAAAATAAAATAAAAAAAACTTTTAGACCCCCATGATCGTAATAAGTTAGTCTTGACCTTACTCGTATTCTATAATTTTTTCTCGAATTGTTTTATCTTTAACGAAAGTGGTCTGGGCTGGGAGTATCACTATTTAATCTCTTAAGGTACAAGTTCGAACTGAACCGCAAACCACAGGTCGCAGGAACCTCTATGATATAGATTCCGAGCGCGGCGACATGCCGCGGCTGCAAAATATGCCGCAGTGTCGCCTGCGGTTGTTGAATTGTACCTTCATGCCCATCCTTCGCTCCGTTTACATTAATGGCTTTATTCGTATCGAGTGGGCAATTGGTAGTGAACCTGGAAATTCAATATTATTTCATACTCGTCTATAAAATAATATTGCATTTTACAATGAAGAAACATCTACTTTTTACCTAATGCAACTGAACTATATCAATAAATTAGTGTAAGACTAGGCCCGAATATATGTGTAGCTACCCTTACATTAGGCAAGACCCAATAAATGTATGTTTCCTTTTTTATATTTACGATAAGAATCTCGTTATCACATTTACAATAATTTGTTTATTTTAACTCGTCCTAATTTGCTTACGTGACAAATATAATAAGCTAAAAGTTAACAAGTTTTTTTTCCAGAAAATATGTTTACTAGGCTTTGTAAACTTCTTAACTTTTTTTGCTGCTCTTTAATAACGGAGGAATTTGAAATTATTAATTTTTTGGCCACCCATCCAGTATCCGGCCTTTGTGATAGTTGCTTAACTGTTGTAAACGTAGACTGAACCCTACTGCCACTAACACATCCCTATGAAGATTTTATTTTGTTTGTAAAAAATCGTTATAAGAAATTACAAAAAAACAACATACAGCCAATTGTAACAATTAGGTATTTTTAACACCTACTTAAATTTATTTTATTAATTATCATTTTTTATATTGAGATAAGTACTTATTTGATCATGGATGATCAAATGAGTACTTATCTAATAAATCGGATTTTGTGATTTTGTTTTAGAGTTACATACTATTGCTGGAAATTGACCTTATGCACAAAATCAAAATGTGTTTATTTTCTTTGGAAGTTAGTGTATTGATTTAAAGTTACTGCATAGTAACCAGTTAACCCACCTTTCATTTTAAGTTCTCAATTTAAATCAATGCGATAAGTATTTTTGTTTGTTTGTATGCCTACAACAGGTGCTATTTATAAATAAAAATTCGTTCTAGGAAGTCACGTTTTTCATTTGTCACCTTGTTTGTGTGTAACTTCCAACGAAACACAGCATCGAATATTTTTTCTTTCACATAAATAACGGACACGCAAATATTCCTCTTTCTACTCCCAACCAACTGAACACATCAATTAGAACGGATTAACTATTTTCTCTTCC